CCTTTCATCATTAAGAGAGTTGGTGAATCTGTTGTCAGTGGGATCAAATGTTCACACACCATAACAAGTTATGAAGTTATTCTCTGGTACAAACAAGATGAAAGCAAAACTCTGCAGTTCCTGGGATATTTGAATCTCAACTTCCCATACCCTGAGGAAGACGTGAAGGGAAAAATCAGCTTTGATGGAAATGGCCAGAAATATTCGAACCTCAATATTTCCAGTCTTTCATTAAATGACAGCGGTGTGTATTTCTGTGCTGCCAGGCGACACAGTGCTTCAGATTCCCCACAAGTCAATACAAAAACTCTCCTTTATCTGCCTGCAGATAGACAACATGTTGAGTCTCTGAACACCTGCAGCCAGCCTCCATCTAAACCGAGCCTTTCAAGATTTTAATCAACCGTTCTGACTGAATTGTGACCTCCTCTGAGGTTGTGCTGTAGGGCAACAGAAAAGCAGGTTATTCTAGGATGTGCAGAGCCTAATGTTTGTGATAGTCTCATGACTGATAGCAAACATGGATATTATTATCAAAAAAGTTAATGTCATACTGTCTTTTTGCTACAGGTAACTACAATAAAATACATTTGTACAATTACAAGTTTACATTAAATTATTGTTTCATGTTTATACTCTAATTATAAGTTATTGTCATTTTTATTATTATACACACAGGTCTAATTGATGGGAGTGATATCAACCAGACCTCCATGCTGTGGAGAAACCAGAGTTTACCTACAACCAGATGCACCTGTACAGACAGCTGCAGGAGAAGTAACAAAACTAAATACAGTGTATGTTTATACACAAAAGAACAAAAATATGAAACAGACTTCAGCAAGGACAAATTCCCCCTGTGAGCACCAGGCTGGACATTCACAGTGAAGACTGTTGGCACACCTCGATCCCTCCATCTCATGCACTGTAGGGGGACATCAAGCACCACAAATACTCCCAGTTACACTTTGATTCACCGTGTGGATTTCGATTCGTCAGCTCACAGAATCAGAGAACGTCACACACTGCGGAGACACACCTACTCTCTATACCTCTGTAAATAAACTGACAGATTCAAAGGAGGCTCTGACTTCCACAACATGGACATAACCAAACATTGTCTACTCTACTTTTTAATATTTCTGCTCTGGCTTAAAGGTGAATTTCATTCTGAGCTCATTGGTTTACAGTGTTAAACTATGATTTTATAGATGTGGTGTGTTTTAAAACTGTTAACCTAACTGTTATACACACAGGTCTCATTGATGGGAGCGATGTCACCCAGACTGACATACTGTGGAAAAACGAGAGCGACAGTGCAACAATAGAGTGCAGCCATACAAAAGGTTTCCAATACTACCAGATGTACTGGTACAGACAGCTACCAGGAGAAACAATGAAACTAATCGTGTTCACCACTACAACTCCACCACATAAATATGAAAGTGGCTTCAGCGAGGACAAGTTTCCAGCGCAGAAGAACGACCCTCAGACTGGATCTTTGACAGTGGAGAAGCTGCTGCCTGAGGACAGTGGAGTGTATTTTTGTGCTGTGAGTGAACACAGTGATACAGGTGACTGAGACAGCTGTACAAATACCCAACTGTTGCTGTCACAATGAATAAAATATTCTAACTGATGAACTACAGAGGGAGCTCTAGGCTAACACTGATACATGTGATTAATCATGTGGAACTACACTTACAGACTTTTGTTCATAGTTATGAGTATTATTTTTGGTAATAGTGCTTGTGCAATACAATAATGTCACCAAACATGTAAAATGAAGGGCAATGAATGCAGGTTAACACCATATTGTACTCTGTTCTCTAACCAAACATGTTTCCTGACAATTGTAGAGTTCCTATTTGATTGTGTTGTACTGTTTTTTCTTGTATAATCCTTTTCCTGTTGGTTTCACACTGTTAATATTCTATATCAATTACATCTGTATAAAATGTGTATATAGTGTACATACAACTCTAACTCTCTAATGTTCATTACATGTTGTATTTTTCTATTTTATTTTGTTATTTAATGTGTATTTATTTATTTATTTATATGTAACATGTGACTTTCCCCAGTGTGGGATCAATAAAGTCTATCTTATCTTATCTTAAATCATAATTTCATTCTGTTTAAATTCCATTCAGGAAAGGAATGGAGCTGTAAAAGCTCAATGTTATTTTAGCATCACAGATAATGCTCGACAATACCTGGATAAACTAATCTTAACTTAAGGTCACCTTACTGGACCTTCAGTACATTTACCAAAAACCATCAGATATGGTTAAAGCTCCAGAAAGAGCTAGCAAGTGGACCTTGAGTTAATATTATTTAGACAGACATTTTTTTCTTAATGCTGAAATAATGAATCTGCCACATATTAACATAACATTTACATAGTTTGTAATGTATTTGTTGCAAGCAAACAATCACCATTACATTTCAAACATGTAAGTACGGTAGCTTGCCGTTAAATATAAAAATAAAAATGGCTAGTTTATGTCAGGAATCATTATAAACGTGAGCACACAATATTTATGTTTTATTTATATGGTCAGAAATGACTAATTGGAGCTTTCAGACTTCAGAGTTGTAGTCAAACAAACAGACTCGACTGTATTGTTGCACCTGGTTTTAATGTTCATTTCAGGTCTTTGTTATTTTGTGTCCTTTTATAAGGGGCAGTGCAGTATGTCTGTAGTGTATAGTAGCAGTTCAGGAAGAGGACAATGCATTATGACACCACCCAAATAGAAAATATTTTCCTGATGGGAGGGTTTACCCAGCAATAGAGGAGTGACTATTCAGTAGAACTGCACATACAGAGATGAGAGCACAGCACCAAAAACAAGGATATTCTTAAATTCAGTCACAACACACAACAAGATGATCACTGTCTTCTGCTTAGCCCTTAATATCATACTGGTTTCAGGTAATGTAATGAGCGTCCTTGTACTTTTACATTCTTGAGTGGTTACACTCTTACCTCATTACTGTATATTAATGTGTGTTTGTTGATGATGTCTAATTAACAGGTTCGTCTCTCAGTGAAAAAGTCCACCAGACTCCAGCTGATATGTTTACCAACCAAGGAGAAACAGCCAAAATCTACTGTTCACATGAGATTGACAACTATAACCGAATCCTCTGGTACAAGCAAATCACGGACGGCCAACTGCAGTTACTGGGATACATGAATGTAAACACTGGATACCCAGAGACCGGAGTGAATGTGAAGATAGATGGAAACGCAAATAAAGACCAGACCTGCACATTAACAACTGAAAGACTGAACAGCAGTGCAGTGTACTTCTGTGCTGCTAGTTAACACAGTGCTACATATCACTGCTCCTCAGTACAAAAACCTCATCACACTTTTCATCTCTGTAGCACACAGCCTCTTGCACCTGTATGCTTTCCTTTCGGTAGGTGGTGGTATATCTTAACTCAGACTTTTATTCTGAACCAGTGGTGTGTTCCTCATTACAAAAACAGCTCTATCACAGCTCAGAACCTTCCAACTGGAATAAGCCACTAACCAATGTTGTTTTTTTGTCTGACTAAGATCAGAGATTATAATGGGATGTCCTTTCTGTGGTACAATGCCTTTAACGTCCCACCTCCCATTATAAAACGCAGCCTTAGACATTTAGTTTGTCTGCTGTGGCTGCATCGCATTTTAGGAGGATCACTATGATGACTCAAATACTCACATTCATAGTCTGCTCTCTGTGGCTTCAAGGTACATGAATTTAGGTTTTATAGTTATCCATTAATTATTTATAGTTATTAAATATTATTATGATGGAGACCCAATCACAATGTCAAATTCTGACTATAAAACTGTGCTGACAATGTTGTAGCATCAGTGGAAACATTTAATTTTTTTCATCTTTCATATGTATGCACAAGAACATAGTTAACATTAATTTTTTGTATTTTCTCCACACAGTTCACTGCCAGGATGTGAGCCAATACCCTGAAATCAGCCGGAGTAATGTGTGCAACTCTGCAGAGATGAACTGCAGCCACAAAAAATATATTTCTCATAACCAGATGTACTGGTACAGGCAGCGTCCAGGGGAGACCATGACCCTCACTGTCTACACAGTTGTAGGTGGAAAGCCAGACTATGGTGGGGGCCCTCAAACCAAATACTCCATCAAAGAGAAAACAGAGAGTGGGGCTCTTACTGTGAAAGACTTGCAGCCTGAGGACAGCAGTGTTTATTTTTGTGCCGTCAGCAAACACAGTGATGTGAGAAGCTGAGCAGCTGAACAAAAACTGCTTGACATTATATTTGGTGAATATTAGAAACCAGATTTTGACTTTTATATCTTTCCAGTAGGTGGAGCTGGAGCTTGAGAAATGCTCTTCAGCTTCACACACACAGCACTAGACATTTAATGTACCCGTGTGTAGAGAGGAGGGCATTAATACAAGAGGTTAAAGTGAAGTGCTGTGGTGTTTAATTCAAGCTCTTAGAGCCACTCAGTGTTCTGTGTTCATTCAGACAGGAGGTCAACATATCAACATTATTCTTTTTATCTTGGCTCACTGGTAATCACTTTTACCTTTCATTCAAGAATACCACGTTATCAATAGTTCCTACACAGTTCATTCAGTTTATTTCTTTATTTCTAGTTGTTTGTCTGGGTGTTGAAGTCCACCAAACTCCTCCAGCTCTCCTCAGAAGACCTGGAGACAAAGTCCAGCTCGTCTGCAGCCATGGAAAGACTGACTATTCACTGATGTACTGGTACCAAAAATCTCCTGGAGACCAAACTCTGAAACGCATCGGACATGTGTATTATAGCACTATAGAACTTGAGGAGTCTTTAAAAGAACATTTCAATATAAGTGGAGATCTGAGTGGAGGGACAGCAAAGAATGGCTCTCTGTTTATAGTCAATCTAAAGGCACCTGAGCACAGTGCAGTGTACTACTGCGCAGCAAGCTATGCACACTGACTGCAGATCCCCTCTCCTTTGTACAAAAACTCTGAACTGACTTTGATCAACAGTTATGGTTTTGAATTAGAACCTGAACAGGCCCCTCCCAGCAAGCTGCTCTTGATGTGATGCCATTATCTCTGCCAGGCAGTATACAGTACTGTTTCATCTTCATTTCACTTCCCTTTTCACACTTCAGTCAGCTCATGAGAGGCATCAGTTGGATCTCCACCTTTCAGTGACAGTCAGGTTGATCTAATGTCAGATCCCAGCGACTTAAAACCCTAAAACTCTGTGATACATAGTTTAGACATTTTTGAGGAAGAGAACATGATCAGTTTTCTCTTTTTCTGTTGCCTGTCAGGTAATATTTTTTATAACAATTAGCTCCTATCTGTGTGTAATGTAGAAGTGGGGTTTATTTAATTACTTTTACCATGTACATATATTCTTTCATTTTATTCTCTACCCAGGTTGTTGTCTGGGCCTTGAGGTCCGTCAGTCTACCTCTGATCTCATCAAGCAACCTGGTGACAAAGTGCAGATTTTCTGCAGCCATGATAAAACTGACTACAGGACAATGCTCTGGTACCAGCGGTCACCTGGAGACACAGCTATGAAACTCATCGGATATTTGAACTACAAGAATGTCAAAATGGAAGAGCCATATAATGTGGATTTTAATATCACTGGAGATTTAGGGGGGAATACAGCAAAGAATGGCTCTCTTATAGTCAACTTTTTAAGACCAAGTCATAGTGCAGTGTACTACTGTGCAGCTCGAGAAGCACACTGACAAAAATCCCCTCTGAACTATACAAAAACTCTTCACCATCTTTGCTTTGAATAACACATGGAATAAACTGCTCACAGACACCTGCTTTTGTGGTTGCATTTTGGTTTGATGCAGTCATATCCTCATTAGCTAATGAAACTTGGTTTCTCTATTATTGGCATATTTCTAATAAATTTAATTATATAATTGAAATATGTCAATAGCAAAACATTTTTGTTGGTGAATCGGGTTTAAGGAAGAGCGTCGATAAATATCAGTTTTATATGCAACTACATGAAGCCACTCCTCCTTTCTACATCATGTTTGCTTCCTACTTAAATGTGACTGAGTTTAGTGAGAAAGCACAAACAACAGAGACCCTGTCGTCACTTACACGATGATTAGATTCCTCTTCTGCTATTTCCTCACAGGTAATAACTGCTTCATTCTGAAGTTAAGATTTATTGTAGTTTTCACCTTCACACATACAATTAATAATGTGTCTAACTCTCACAGCAGGTATTTCTCTCGGGGTTCAGATCCATCAGTCTCCCTCTGCTGTCATCAGAAACACCGGTGACAATGTGCAACTTGTATGTACTCATGGACAAAGTGACTACAGAGTGATGCTGTGGTACCAGCAGTCACCTGGGGACAAGGCTCTGAAACTCATTGGATATGGATATACACAATTCAAAAATGACAGCGTGGAAGAGCTGTTTAGAAAACACTTCAAATTAGCTGGAGATCTGAGTGGAAACAACAAAAATGGTTCACTTTCCATAATCAATCTGAAAGCACTTGAACACAGCGCAGTGTACTTCTGTGCTGCTAGTAAGCCACAGTGTATCAAACACCCATCTGCCCTTGACAAAAACCTCTTCCTCTCTCTCCGCTGTAAGTAGGTAAAATAGTACATTATCATCTGCAAAAGCAGCTTTTCACTTGATCAGAGTTTAAAACACAATTACCATCCTACTGTTCTGTATTAAACAACCAATTAAAGTGTTTTTTTATTTCTCAAAGCCAAAGCCTTCAAAGGCTTTAAAGTCATTAGCTGATATTGGATTCTCCTGAATTTGAACTGTATTCTCTACAAGAATATCCCCCCAAAAAGTCAAGTTGCCCAACAGTTCCAACTTTCCAGCTGATCAGCCCAGGAAATTAAACCTGAAACAGAGTATCAAACTATTTTCCAGAGGCTCAATTCCACATAGTAAATGCAGATTTGTTTACCTTGTTGAAAACTTATAGCAAAGTCATAAGAATGAGTACAGAGAAACGCCACCCTTCATATTCTTAAACTGAAAAACCCTCAAGTACACAGGTAACATTTATAGTACACCATGATAGAAAAGCCTTAATATAATGTGTAGATGTGAAGCACACTGAATGAAATAGTTTCTCACCATGTGCTATGATTTCTCTACATCACTTCCTGCCCCTCCTTCTGATCCACAAAACACAGCAGAGACTCAGGCTGGTTCTTCACATTCAACATGATGCCATCTCAACTCATCGTTTCCATCATCACTTTGTTCTGGGTTAAAGGTATTGTACATTCATGAGGCCACTTAAAAAAAAACTGGAGCGCTAGCGTAGGAATCAAGGAGAAATATATATCAATGTCCATGTTCTTTATTCTCATATACTACTATAAGCACTACTTAACATTGTGTCTTGATCTCTTTACAGGAGTTTACCTCAGTGAAGAAAAACAAGTATTTCAGACTCCAACTGAGCTGTTTATTAAACCAAACGGTGAAGTCAACTTGAGCCTCACACATAAAATCCCGAGATACGACACTGTTCTCTGGTATCAGCGCTCACCAGGAAACACTTCCCTAAAGCTCATCGCCTACGTGTATTATAAAACTCCTAAGGTTGAGTCGGAATTTCAGAATCACTTCAATGTGAGTGGAGACGGAGAGAAAACAGCTTATCTTCACATCCTGAACCCGAGACACCCTGAAGAAAGTGGAGAATATTTTGGAGCAGCAAGTATATACACAGCAATAAAGACAGTGACTCTCTCATACAAAAACCTCCACAATGATCCAGCAGAGAACAGCACACCAACAGGAAACCACTGGAACCACCTCACACAGTGTCAAAGTTCTGAGAGTCTTCATTAATACTGTTCATTAGAATATGCTTATCCTTTTACTGTGTACATTTAGGAAGTAAAGAATAAGATAGAAAATGATAAAGAGAATGATGAGAAAAACCAAGAAAGTGAATAAGGTTCCTTTTATAGCACTGTTTCCAAAAACCCTGATTTTAGCGGATATGTATATTTAGCGAAAAAATAAAGTCACAAGGATATACTGAGTGCTTGAACTGCTTTAACAGATTCCCTCAGGTGAATAAAAACTGTCTGTGTGAATCAGAATCATAAAAGCAGAGAGCAGTGAAACACACTGACATGGGGGCAGTTGTAAACTCCTCCTTCCTCATTACAAATCAAATTTGCATATATCTGTTTAAGTCCCAGTTAAGAGTTGATCCATCACAGAGAACATTATGGCTACATGAGGATTGTCATATTCAGTAAAAATGTTGTTTAAAATGTTTTTTATTTTGTTTCTTTCTCTGTGTTTGCTCACAGGTAAGAGTCATAAGATATGTGTCATTTCTCATACCACTAATAGAAATGTCTGTTTACTTTCAGGTTTTCTTTTTTTCCCCCTCTAGACACTGCGTCATCATCGCTCATAATCCAGCAATCTGCAAATCTTCTAATAAAACCTGAACAAAAAGAAGCCCGCCTTGACTGTTACCACGGAGACAACAACTATCCATACATGCTTTGGTACCGGCATCAGTCAGCAGCAGGAGGCCGAAGGTCCATGGAGCTGATCGGACTGCTTCATTATGAAAAGCCAACCCTTGAGAAGAACTTTGAAGCCCGTTTCAACATCACAGGCCATTCGAAGGGCAGAGCGGAGCTTGTTATCTCCAACATTGACACAACAGACAGTGCAGAGTACTTCTGTGCAGCGAGTAAGCACAGTGCTGCAACTCCCCTAACCCCTTTACAAAAAGCTGGAGGCCCACAGTATCAGCCAAGCACCTGCATCAAACCTACGCTGCATAAAGAAGTACTGAGAGTCAGAAGTCTGTTCTCACGCAGCAGCTGCTGTAGTTTCCGATCCCTGCTCTGAGAGGACCAACAAAGGTATAAAAGACTGGACACTGATACATGTTACTGATACATACTGTAACACAACTCCTCCCATGACTCCCGGATGGTAATGAGTCTCCCTACTGGACGGCTTCTCTTTGGTCTATTTAACACAGTTTCTGATGTCATTTCCTCCATTCTGATCTCAAGTGCTGGCTCGTTGCATTTTCATTCACTTCTTTTCTTCTTCCTAAATCAAAATGATTGCAGCCTTCACCACCTTGGTGCTCTTTATGCTCTGGGCTGCAGGTAAATATAATTTCTGTAATAAACAGGGACATAATCTGGCTTCCTCTGGTGGAATTTGTGATGAAAATATTGTTGGTGTTTATTATACACTTGAGTCATTAGTTGCTTTGAAGCAAATTTAGACAGCGTAACTAATACTGATGTGATTTAGTACATATGTGCTTATTATCCTGTGTTACAGATGTTTCTCCGTCTGTGCTGATCACTCAGTGGCCCCAATACATTTCCAGTCTTCCCAACGGCTCAGCGGAAATGCACTGCTACCAGAATAACACGGATTATCAATATGTGTACTGGTACAGGCAGCTGAGAGGACGAGGTTTTCAGTTAATTGTGTCTGTAATAGCAAGCAATGCAAACTATGAGGAAGGATTCAAATCTGGTTTTCAGGCAGTGAGATCGAAGGAGAAGCAGTCATCTCTAACAATAACCAACGTTCAGACAAAAGATGAGGCCGTTTATCTGTGTGCTGCCAGTCTACACAGTGCTGTGGCACACCTCAGGTCTGTGACAAAAACATAGAGCGAGGAGGCTGGTTATTGTTCTGACACCTGACACATAAATAATAATCAAATAAAGGAAGGCACTAAACCCCACAGTGGAGAAGATGATACCAGTGACTTTTACTACACGTTGTTTCACATATTAATGGAAGGAAGGTAGAAAGAATGGGCATAAGGGATGAACTGCTCTCTAAAATTGAAAATTACATTATTGTTCAACACTTAAAAACACAATATTTAAAGCAGTTTTCCTGACAAGCGACCGTCTAGTCATGCAAATTATTGTCCTGAACAGATTCAACCAATAGGGGGAGACACAGCACATGGCATGAAGCTTTTATGAGGAGAATGTGGTGATGAATTCACAGACACAGACACCCTCCCTCCGTACCCCGAGCCTATTTTCTCAGAACAAAACATACAAAACCCTCACCGTCCTGTGAATGAGACATTTGCAGTTGAGGCTCTCTCCTGATACATCGTTGGAGGAGGCTGTGTCCCTCCTGCAACAGCACAAACTTGAAAATGTCTCCAGCTGTGATAGCATTTCTGCTCATCTTGCTTCCATGTAATGAAATTAGCTGCAAAAACTGCAATTGTGTTGTTAACTGTAGCAATTTTATGTAAGTTTTTTCACTGTTTCTTCTGTATCATTTACTTTTAAAATCTGTGTTTTTCCCACAGATCGAGCAAAGAGTGTGACATTTCAGCCGTCTCTTCCTAGAATAGTCAAGGACAAGGCCAGAGTAGAAATTACATGCAGTCATAATGATAACAACCTCTATGTAATGCTCTGGTACCAGCAAAAAGAGAGAGGTTTGATGAGCTTGATTGGATTCAGCTATTTTGGCAGTGAGCCTAACTATGAGAAACAGTTTAAAGCTCGGTTTGAGATTACAAGAAAAGACATCCAAACAGGATCTCTGATTATTCAGAGTGTGAATCTATCAGACACGGCTGTGTATTACTGCGCTGCCAGTACACAGTGATGCGGTTTAATGCCACTCCCTCACTAAAAACCCTCACCATCCTGTGAATGAGACATTTGCAGATGAGGCAGTGTCTCTCTTTACACTGACTCTCACTGGTGGAAGCTGTGTTTCTCCTGCAGCAGAGCAAACCTGGAGGATGTCTCCAGTTGTGATCGGATTTCTGCTCTTCTTGTTGCCATGTAATGAAATTACCTACAAACAACAATTTAACTGTGTTCTCAATGTTATACAGGAAAAAATGAATGGCTGTTTTTTTTTTCCACAGTTGCATCTGTATCAACCACTTTACTAAATCTGTGCTTTCCCAACAGATCGAGGCCGAGCTAAGAGTGTGACGTTTCAGCCGTCTCCTCCAAAAATAGTCAACGAAAAGACCAGAGTGGACTTTAAATGCAGTCACAATGACAGCGACCTTAATGTAATGCTCTGGTACCAGCAAACAGAGAGTGGTCTGATGAATTTAATTGGATACAGCTACATTAACAGTGAGCCCGACTATGAGAAACAGTTTAAAGATCAGTTTGAGATTACAAGAAAAGACATCCAAACAGGAGGTCTGATTATTCAGAGTGTGAATCTGTCAGACTCAGCTGTGTATTACTGCGCTGGCAGTACACAGTGATGTGGCTTAATATCAGCCCTCACTAAAAACCCTGTTCCCTTCTTACTCTGCTGTTTTCAAGTTCAAGAGAGGCAGGATAGTGGAATTTGTCTCAGTATATTTACTGGCCAAGTATGTTGACACATACAAGAAAGTAAGGTTGTCACAATACCAGAATTTTATACAATATTAGCATTAAAAAACAACACTCGATACCTCTTTTGATACCATGGAAAAGAGAAATAGGAACACAAAATAGGATCATTTCTTTTCTGAACACAATTGAGGACCAGTTGATTTTCCTCCCCACTGTTTCATCTGTGCAGCTCTGGGCTGAAAATCTGATAGTAATGTAGTGGGGTTTTTTTTAATGGTTTTGGTACTTTCGACACTATCCAATGACTATCATTTTAAACACACAGTATCAAAAAAAGTATTTCAGTATTGATACGTTTGACAATCTTAAAGTTGACTCTGGTTCTCAGTGGATACATTTAAATGAGGATACATTGCAGACATGAAGCTTAACAAAACTATTAAACTAAATAAAAAGAAGAAAACTAAAAACACATTGCTGGACTACAAACTATGCACAGTAAATACAGATCAGATAGCTACTATATACTGTACAGGCTTGCGGTACAGGTAGTGCAGGGATGTAAACAGTCTATGGATATTAGGGGGTTTATGTTCATATGTGTCCGGTATACAGCCAGCTGAGGCTCAACTATGAAAATTATGTTGCACTGTGTATTAAACCATATAAAATAATCAGATTATTTATGACTGTATTGTTATTTCACACAAATTGTTCATAAATAAAATTGTCAATGAAACAATACAATTGCGATACAATTCAACAGCAACACAAACTACAGCCTCCAAAGTTGAATCTGTAAGTTTCAATAACAACCAATAATCAGCCACGGAAATACTGAGACATAAGAGTTCATATTTCACCAAACCATCACCATTTAAACTAAATAATGTTCAGCCATGACAAGAAATTTCAATACTACACGCCAAAAAATTAAAAAACTGCCAGCTGCCCCACAACCATTTGCTTAGCCAACCGTTAGCACAGTCAAGCATACAACCACCAAATGTACAAAGCAAAAGCTTAATTTTTAATACACGCCTTTCTTTTCGTACACGTTCAGCACTTTTCAAATTAACGTGAAATAGTGGGCGGAGCACTGTCAATTTTAAAAGACTGCCTAAATTAGCGGTGACCAATCAGGTTCCACCAAGCTACAGGTGTTTATTCAGCCCTGTAGCTCATTCCTACTAGTGATGGGAATGACTAGTATTAGTACCACTTTTGGCTTTTATAATTCAGCCAAATTTAGTAATGTTTTGACCCATGATTGTGCACGTTTTACTAAAATTATTCAATGTAATTGTGCTAAACCTTATAATTTCCACTATAATTTCACATTACGCTTGGTATAAAAACCTTAAATAATGTAAACATAAAACACTATTACGCATGTGTATTGGACGTTTTAATTATACTTAACTATGTTTGGTATGTTGGCAACCAGCGCAACATACAACTTATAATTACCAAAGTGAGACATTTCTATTTTTGCTCGATGACTTAAATGATCAAAATTGCTTCTGTTAATCGGCCAGTTAATTCATTGTTTTAGCTAAACTTACATCAAAAACACTTTACCGTCCATTACATCCAAGCCCTTGCCCAAAGTGTTCACACAATGCTAATTAAGCCTTCCGCTGCAAGGTAAATCTCTGTATTTAGTTGTTAAATCTGATATCTGTGGTGACATTCCCACACTAGTGCATCGATTTATGATTATTGATTTTGAGAGCTGAAGGGAGGAGCAACCCCAGTAGGCTACAGGTCATATGCACACGTCAACAGTGTTGTTAGGTAATTGTAATTAAAGATTATTAATAATTTCTAAGTGTTAATGTAATAATGTAAGAATATTATCCAGGTATGTTTCAAGGAGGGAATTATACCTTTCATGTTCTATTACTCGCTATAAATGTATTCTTATTTGAAAAAAATGTATACATTCTAGTTTTTTTGAAGCACGGATAGATAGATAGATAGATAGATAGATAGATAGATAGATAGATAGATAGATAGATAGATAGATAGATAGATAGATACTTTATTTATACCAAGGGAAATTCAAGTATTTAAAATTAAAATCCCTAACCTTAAGAATAGATTTAAAAATAAAATAGATATAGAAAAGCAAAAGAAAATGTCATTTACATTGTTGGAGATGGTGATTTACACCCTAATAATACAAATGATTGGTTGGAATGTTTGACATTTGCAGCATTAAAGTCATTCAACTTGATGGTAATTGTAGAGTACTGTCAACCTCAGTGTAAAAACATCAGAAAAAGTCATCTTTCATGTTCTCCAAAGTCCTATTTGATAATCAGTGAATGACAATGACCAATTATATCATGTGATCATGTGACCTCATTGTTTGTGTTTGCAGCAGACTGACTCTGCCTCATTCAGCTGGAAGAAGGCTCATCGCTAACATGCTTATCAGGCTCCTTTATCTGTCGCTTCTTTTACACTCAGGTGGGTTTGATGTATTAACTCATAAAGGATGTACTATCTAAAGGGTGCTTGAATGGTTGATTTCCCCTCACATTTACAGCACACATATATTTGTGCACATTTACAGTTCTGTATATTGACGTAAGACATGATGACATTTTCTCCTTTGAGCTGCAGGTCTCACGTTTGTACTTCTTCAGTCTGGAGATCAAATATGTCACCCAAGAGTCACAGTGACGTTGGATTGCAACATGAGTCAAGGTTTCAGCATGGGCAGCTACACCATGTTCTGGTACCGACAAAACCACTACGGCGCTCCAGTGGAGTTTCTCATCAGAGAGAATGACCAAACTGCGAGGCACTTCCAGTCGTCGATCGACACATCCAAAAACAGCTTCTCTCTGAAAATCACTGAGCTGTTCCTGAACGACAGCAGCACCTACTACTGTGCTGCCAGTCACAGTGATGCATACAGACGAGACAGTCATACAAATAACAGTCGGTTACAGTTTACACACAGGCAGGAAGGAGCTGTGGTTTGTTTGGTTTTTATACTAACTGTGGAACAGTAAAGACATTATATCATTGATTCATCCCTGAAAGTAGGGCAAGACACACTGGGTGAATATTGGGTTTTTTAGTTTATATAAGATAGTATTTGGTCACACCTACAGAAAATTCACAATGTAATAGAAAAGTTCTATTTAGATTTTCAGCTCCAAAACGTACTTTATAAGGATTCTCCTTCTGCGTGAAAGTCTACCAGCCTCCACATGTAATCAGCAGCGAAGGAGACCCGGCTGTAACCTTACAGGGTGAACAAGATGACACTCAAACATTTCTACATGTACTGGTACAGACAAAGCAGCCATGGGAATATACAGCTAGTAACTTATTCTATTGGTAAAGATGTGTAGAGCACTGAAGCTCCGTTCAACAAGTACAAGTTCACCATGTCACGGCCTGCAGTGCTTAATTCCTCTCTGCAGATACACAGTGTAAAAGCCGCAGACTGAACTGTGTATTACTGTGTGTCGAGTAGAGCACAATGGTCCAGAAAGCCTCAACAGCTAAACAACAACCTGAGGAACAAGCCGGGAAAGGAAGACAGGGGGAAGGAATAAAGGAGGCGGGTTATCATTGGACTGAGGGGCATGGCCGGCAACTTACATTAATGTGACCTAAAAATAACAATTTGGACATCAACTGAAAAAGAAACGAGTTGAATAAAAAAATAAATTAAAAAAACTCCACTAGCTCCTAGAAGAACTGCCGCTCCACATTTCCTGCAACACCACAAAGCTGATCGGGTCAGATAAATAAGCAGGTGTCGACATTATAAGGTTTGCAGTACATTATTGCCCTGTACAGTGTCTCTTCTGTGTCACTCTCTTCTCAAGTCTGCACTTTCTTATATCATTTAATTCTGTGTGCTGCCTCACAATATGAAAGTATATTAAGTTCAAGGGGTTATCATACACTGACATCTACAGGGTTCAAGCAGGATTACACAGTATGTAAAAGAGGTGGCAAGTCAAATCATTTAAACTAGGCTGCCTACATGTGCAGTTGTCTGAATGTGGTGGCGTTTCGTCTTGTTTGATGTCTCAGAATGCATTTACTTTTATTAAGTAGGAATAAAGGGCCAGAAACTATTACTGCCAATCATTTAATCTAACGATTTTATCATACAGGGACGGATACAAACTAACAGACTAATGCCACATGACATTAGCTAAATGTTAACGTGCAAAGCTTATCCTTAGATTAGATATTATTTAACAAAAAATAATGTCACTGAAAAATATTTTGATATAGAGCTAATGGTGAAGAAAAAATACAAAGCACAAGATCTCAGTTTAAGTTAGAAGATATTTTGTTTAAGGACGTCATGCAATCCTGTATTTGTCTAAAATATAATAAACATGGTTAAAAATTGATCAAAGGAGTATTCAAATCTGGGGACACAGTAAATTCATACTGTGGGTAACAGAATAATCTGGTGTAACGTGAGCCATTATGACTTCATAATGGATAACTAACGATGCATAATGACAATACTTTTCCCTCTCATTACTTGTGAATATACTTGCATAACTCAGAAACGTGTTGTACCAGTCATGAGACCATTGTATAGATTTGACGTCAATTTGTTGCTGAAAGATTTTTGGCCACTTGAAAGCAACAGAACTACTACAACAACAACTATTACACATCCAGTAGCTACAGAACAACAGTAGCATTTATTTGGTGAATTTAAGTCAAATATTCATTTTCCTTTAGCTCTGTTTTGGTCTCCACCAAGTCTTAAGGGAGATATCAGGTTCTCTAGCTCCACTATGTTCACCAGCTATTTGCAAACCTTGTTGAGTGTGTTGTTTAGTAGTGGTACATAATTAACACTGTGTTTCTCAGGTCTGTTTTACCAAAAATACTGAGGTGTGCAGTAAAACTGAAAGAATGGAATGAGCAATGTGAAGTAGTGAACGTTACTCAGTGAATGTGTCTCCTCCGTTCACCGACCACTGGGAGGATCAGGAGGTGTGACCAGCAGAGACGTCACTTCCTCTGAGGAGTGACAAACAAACACAAAAAAAGACCAGCTTCTCTTTTCCTTCCCTTCATTCTTGCTTCTTTTCTTAGCTGTCACAGAAATAGCAGCAGTCAGGTTGGAGCTCTTTCAGCCGTCAGTCAGCCCGACCTGTACAGCTGCTCTCACACACAGAGAGAGATGGAGGCTGAGATATGGAGAAGCTGGGTGGGGGAAGGAGAGAGGAGCGAGAGAAAGAGACTTCAGGTTTTTGTGTGACGGTTTTTCATCGTGGGGACAGGGGGGCACGGTGATACAAACCCATAAAGCCGCTGTACAAAAACCTCCTGCCATTAACCCATTGTGTAGACTGCTACATGCTACCTGAGACACTTGTTAGAGCAGAAATCTGAGAGTGTGCAGGATGGCAGGACACTGACATCGAAAAAGTCAATGTATATGTAGGAAATCTGCAGAAAAAAAGTTTTTAGAACTTAATTCCAGTTGGTATGGAGCAGTTGGATGCTTCTTTTACTGATCTTCACAAAGAACAATAAACTTTGGACATTATTAAACTCATCCTGCATGTTTAACGCTTCTTCATCCTCTGGATTATTAGACTGTGTCTCAGTATGAAGTTTTGTGACTTTTTGGTGGAGGAGACATTCAGTGTGACACTGGATCTGAAGCTTACTTTGGAAAAGGAACAAAACTCACTGTTTTGGGTAAGTAGAAGCTTTTGTAACTTCAGTTCACTGCAACAAACTTAAAATAGTTGAAATGTTGGTATGAAAGTGAAGGAAAATAGCTGTTGTTATGAAAAAGCTGATATATTGAACTGAAGTAAAAACACTGTGAGCACCACTCAGCCTGCCTACTTTGGCCAAGGAACCAAATTGACGGTTTTAGGTAAATATTTCACTTTATTACTGTATTTTGATAGATGTCACGTTGCTTTAGAGTGCCAGTATAAACAGAAGTATTAGTTAATTTTGGTAAAGAAAGACACAAGGGTTTCGTGTTCAGTATTTCTGCACTGTGACTCTGTAACTGAAGCTTACTTTGGAAAAGGAACAAAACTGACTGTTCTTGGTAAGTAAGACATTAAAAAATGGATTTAAAAAACAATGACAGTTAATATAATAAATATTAAAAAGCAGCTTAAAGTAAATAAAGAATGTAAAAGCAGCATGTCGTTTTGAGCACTGATCAAGTGCACTGTGACGCTGGTTCTTCAGAAGCTCACTTTGGTGGAGGAACAAAGTTAACTGTTTTGGGTAAGAAATATGGTTTAAGTGCTTTCAATATTGTTCAGGTATGACTTGGTTAAGATGTTTTTCATACTGTTAAGATACTTTAAAGCTTAAACGACTCCTAACCACCAATGTTTTATCCATTACTAGATAAAATAACCAGAGATAGATGTTTAAATGGTAAAACCAAGTCCAGGAGGATTTGACTATTTTGTAAACTATAAGTTAAAGTCTTTACATGTCAAAAAGTGACAAAGCTGGAATAATTTCAAAGAGGCTCAGATAAAGAGAGGCAGTGGGAAGAGGTTTTGTTACAGTTGAGAGTCTCTGTGCTCCTACACCGAAGCTTACTTTGGAGCTGGAACTAAACTCACCGTTTTAGGTAAGATAACCTGCAACAACAAAAAATATCTAAGCTCAACTTTGTATGTTAAGATTATGGCCAATATTGTGAATACATTTAATAGACACTTTATTTGATGGCAGTGAACAAACTACTAATTTTTAAAGTGTGAAATAAGTTCAGGAAGAAGTTAGTTTTGTGCCAGTAAAAACACCGTTGTCCATGTTCTCCAGTAAAAGTAGAGCAGCAGTAAAACATTTGGTTGAATGCCCAGATTACCCTGACAGCGAGTTCTTATCAGCTCTGTGAAACACTGTGAGCTTTCAGTCAGAAGCTTACTTTGGAGCTGGAACTAAACTCACTGTTTTAGGTAAGAAGGTAAAAAATTGTTACCCAAAAAGGTCGTAGAAAAAAGATACCATAGAAAATTATATCAAAGTATAACTACTACCAGGTTAATTAAGTTGTTTAATCTCATGCTCTTAAATGTTCAAAATCAGTTTTATATTGTCGAGAAGAGATTTCATTTGGTAAAAGCACTTCTTCTAGAGTTACTGTGTGTGTGCAGTTAAATGTTTTTAGTTTAAAGAAAGAAAGAAAGAAAGAGCACCATTTACAGCGTTCAGTGCTTAAAGGTTGAGCAGTTTTTCTGTAGCCTTGTATCAGTGTGACCAACTACGAACCTGCTTACTTTGGCAGTGGCACCAAACTGACTGTGCTGGGTAAGAAAATTACCAAAATTATATGCATAAATGTTTGTTTTCTGAGCTTCACTTAACCCAAATCTGCTAAATTATTGTTGAGTAACTAACATGTTTTTATTCAGAGATGTGTTTGTCAAAAATCTACATAAGATAGATCTCAGTTCGGCAAAAAAGTTTAATTTGGTCCGAACATCAGACTCTATATACTTAATGAATTAGTACTATAGTTTATTCATCTTAGGCATTTGTGCTGTAGAAGAACCAGCCAACATTGTCTCATTTGCAATATAGTATTTATTTACTTGCATTAGTAAAGAAGAGAAGGGGAAAAAATATGAACTTAAAAAGTAAGTGGGATAAATGTAGATTGTGATTGTGCTTTAGGTGTGCTGGTTAAAAACTGGTGAAAAACTAACAAAGTAAACAGGAGAGATTTAATCAGCCACTGTATTCAGTTTATTTACATGTGGTTCAGCTGTGTGCTCTGGAAATTATCCTGCTCATTTTGGGAACCAAGCTAACAGTTCTTGGTAAGACCACTGCAACAACATCAACATTTATCTGAAGAAAAATGTTGAACAAGAGTGCAAAAACCTGTGCTGACCATGTTGTTTTTGTTGATGTTAGAGGGAAAGTTGTCTCTATGGATTTTGACAAGGCTTTAATTGTGTGATTTATGTCCTTTGTCCTTGCAGAAAAAGACAAAGAGATTACTGAACCAACAGTGGAAGTGCTTCGACCTTCGCCAACGGAGTGCAGAAACGAACAAAGGAATAAGACCTTGGTTTGTGTGGCCACTGGATTCTACCCAGACCATGTCAGTATATCCTGGCAGATCAGTGGGGTCGGTGTCACTAAAGGTGTGGCGACGGACGAGGCTGCCCAGTGGATGCCGGGAAAGACGTTTTACCAAATCACCAGCAGGTTGAAGGTTTCCGAGGAAGATTGGTACAACCCAAAGAATCAATTCAATTGTACTGTCAATTTCTACAATGGAAACGATACGGTCCCCTACACAGATTCAATCCGTGGCGAAGGTATGTTGATTTGGAACTCAGAAATGACCTAAACCTGATCTTTTTGCTATTGGAATTATGTGTAACTGATCTTCTGTCCTTGTCTAATCCATTCCTCAGCTTTGACAAATACCATGACAAGAGGTAAATATATTATTTTGGGGTTCTGTACATCTCGATGCTTCAATTCTAATCTCATGATAGTATTTATGAGGCTATAGGCATAAACCAAGAGTAGCTGCATGTATAAACTCATCTGAATGTTTGAACTTTCTGCAGGGAAATATGTGAAGATCACACAGGCTGCCAAACTCACATACAGTGTTTTCATTGTCAAGAGCTGCATCTACGGGGCCTTTGTGGTGTTTCTGGTGTGGAAGCTTCAGGTTTGTTCTACGCAATGTAGCATGTGACATAAAAACAGGTTTTATACACTTTAATACGTGGATGAACATCACATATGACACTGTGTCCTTTCTGTCTGCTGCAGGGTTCAAAGGGAAAGCAGAACTACTGAGAGCTGAGGCCAAATCTATTCTAGGAGATCTAAGAGAAGATGTTGGTTTCTGTAAATAAAGGCTGAAAACTTTTCACAACTTTGTATATTGCAGTGCATTTGCATTTATTACTCAATTACATAATCAAATTCTGCTAAAATAGATGAACAGTTCTAAACATATTATTTTTTTAATCTTAAAGCTGCTTTGGCATCACATTTATACTAAGAATAATTCTGTGTTTGTGGTTGTGAATTGCTTGTTTGCTTAATTTTAATCTAAATAAAAGCATTTTAGAGGATGTCATCAATTGTGTGCTTTCATTTCTCTAAATAGTAAGTCAACCACGACAAACCTGGGTTTTTTATGGTTCTCGTGACATCTCCAGATAGTAAAACTATATTTACATGCAGTGCGTATCTAAACAAGGAAGGGGTGATTTAATTAAGAATTAGACCGGTAAATGACATTAGTCAGTTGATCTAAAGAGTCTAAACTGTTACCAACAGTACTGATAGCATATATGTAGTAACATCTTCCATGAGGTATTTTTAGCTCTTTGATTATCTGCTGGTTTTCTGAGAAAAGCAACTATTTTTCACCCACATACAGTATGTTGAGACATCTCAGCTCAAAAAAACCTTCACAAGCAGGTTCATTTGGGTCTTAACAAGTTTTTTCCAATGAGCAAACTGAGAGGTGATTAAAGTGTTTTCAGTAATGTTTGATTGATAAATTAATTTCCATCGACTAATCTGTATTTTAACATTCTTTTGAAGAACTCATTTGACCTTATTAACCTTGGTTTGTCATATCTAGTTTTTCCACTTTGCACAAATGAACAAATGAAAGAGTCTTATCACATTTTCTTTTAAATAAAGAAGTTATTCCTTTAGTAAATGTGAGAGTGTGAGTCTGCCACATAACAACAGGAAATCAACGTTCTCATCTGTGTACAGAAGAAGGTCAAAGCTGTCGTTGGTGAGGGAAACAAACTGGGGCTTGAAACCGTGCAGAGGAGTGGAAAGCGACAGCAGAGGAGAGGATGTGGTCACAGAGCAGCCTGCAGATCATTCTCTGTGCACAGAAATGATGAAGGTGCAACCTTCCACTTTACCACAACCTCCGGCTCACACCTGCATCTCTGCACCAACCTCCATTTCTGTGTCAACTGAAGCTACACAATGAAAATAAGTGTGTGTTATATTGCATACAACAGCTGTTTACCGTGATCTGGTGCAAACATTTGCATTTCTTTATAAGTAGATAAGAAAAGTAAAATACATTTTGTTGCAATCACAGACTAAAGACAACCATAACCAGTAATGAATAAATACAAACAATAAAAAAACAGGGTTGTTTCATAAATCATCTTTATGTGAACCACTATATACGATAAGACACAATATATGACTATATTTGAAGCATATTATGGTCCTTAACTAAATGTCTAAACTATTTATCAGTAAACCCTCCAGTGAGAAACATTTGCGCAATAGAAAAACATGTTTGTGCTTCCTGAAGTCAGATAAACAGGAAACAATGTCTGTGAGACCACAACAGAAACATGGCTCATCTGACATCTGTGAGCTACATAATTATATCTCCTCCTGCAAACCTTCATCTTTATACGTTCTGCATCCAAATGTTAGAATATAGAATTGCCTGAGTAGATAATGTTTGGTACAGTAGATTGAAACTTTGATTAAAACAGCAGCAGGTAACAGCAGATTTAGTGACTATTTTTTAGTTGTAGGTTTACTTGAGTAACTAGATGCAAAGAAAACGATAGACCCACATTCCCTGATGAAAGGAACTGAACTGACATTTCATTTTTCATGTTGAACGTACCCTTACAGTGCCAAGAGAACATTAGGTCACATGTAAGATTCATATACAGTAATACAAGCAAAGACACCTGTAAAACTCCAACTGTGTGAATTGCATCAGGTCACTCAAAACCATAACTCGAAATCCACTGATTAAGCTTGATGCTTAGTTAACAGTAGTTCATTTATATTTATTATTTATATTTATTTATATATATATTTGTATAGCGCCAAATGGGCTTTATGAATATTCAGTTTTGCAGAAATACAGAAAATACATCATATATCTAACCAAGATACATTTGGAGAAACACACACAGTATAAAATCAAATGAAGTTTATTTATATTTATAACACAATCATACACAGTACAACATATAGCAAAATTCTTATGTGCCTAGCTCCAGAGCAAAATTAACAAATAGAACAAATAAAATAAACGCAGATCTAACAGAAGAATCTATCAAATAGATATTATAAATACAAATATATAATAAAGTAAAATTTAAAGGTGGATGAATGAACAATATAATAAAGGCTGCGTTTGTGCCTTTTCTAGAAAAATGAAACAACCGGTGCATAATGTGTTCTACAACTGCACCATTCAAAACTGAGCATTAAAGGTGCATCAGGTGACAGTTATTGACCCCTACTGGAGACTCACCTTGGACTGAGTTACAGCTGTGTCTGCTCCAGCTGCTACTGAGAGGCCGAACACCTCGAGACACCAGAGTCTGCAGAATTCAGCTGGCTGACTATCAGAGTGCCATCTGCTGGATGACCCTGCAACACGACAGACCGTAAAGGCCACTGCACACCAGTTTTTACGCCCAAAGTTATTGCACGTTTAAAAATAAATGTGTCACTCATGCTTTCTTACCAGCTCCTTTCATCTGTCATTAAAGTTTTTGGAGCAGGTTTGATGATTTGCGTTTATCAGTCAGAGGGGGTCATTGTGTGACGACTCCATCTCCTATTTTCAAATTTGCAGCGAATAAAATAATCAAAACACATCTGACAGCACAGTGTGCAAAGTTTCTATGCGTAATACAAAAAATCCATGCTTGATGTGCAAAGGCCTTAAGAGCTATAACACAAACAAGGTACAAGCCTGTGAGCCTTCTTTTCAAGTACAATGGCTTTAAATCCCAATCATGAGCAGGCGTAGGAGACATAGGAGTGGGAATTTGATACCACTTGATAAGGAATAAGTCATAACTGTATCAAGTCTTTAGTTATAGTGTATATAAATTAGATAATCGGCAGGTGATTTCCAGAAGGTGAGTGATCCGATGGATTGAAGAGCGAGCTCAAAAGACAAATCAAGCGATTGATTTGAACTTTCACAATCATCTGACACTTCCACAAACTGTTGCGCTCACCTGAAGTTACATCAGCCATTGTGTTTGTAAATCAATGTGGAGGGTCCGTGTATGTTTTGGTCATTGGATTTTCCTTTCAGAAACGGGTATTAAAAAACAGAAAACGAGTGGTTATTTGATTTTCCTTTTAAAATACAAAAATTAAAATTGAAATACAAGACGTTTTTCTTTTTCATGGTCAGAAAGGGATGAGCGAAATTTAAAAAATGATTCGATTTTCATTTTGTATTTCATATAACAAAAAATAAAATCACTAGAAAACAGAAACGGAAAAAAGACCTGTTTGTTCATATTCTGAGACCGGATGTTGTCATTTACAGGACGGTGCTGTGTAGAAGAAACAGTAGACTAGTAGACTGCGGTCAATCCAGCCGTGAGTTCGATCTCCGTGGTCAAATCAGCCGCACTTAAATTTAGAGTGTACAAGTATTCTCAGCATTATGGTAAATGCGGAGAAACAGCGTATTTACTTCCGGTTTTCAAAATAAAGGTATTTAGAGCCGTAAATTAAAATATGTTACATTAAAGTGTTTCATGTGCCCCTGATGAAAAAAAACACTTTATATCAAGTATCTTTACTGCACCAGTGTGGAGAAATGCCAAAATAAAAGTCTCATATTTATGCCTCCAGAGATTGCATATTTGACCATATTTGAGGTACTGTAAAAACATATTGCTCAGTGTTTCCTGGCTACTGATGGTATATTTGACTTTTACACATATGAGACTACAAACATACTTAATATCAAGCATTTTTACTGTACCAATTTGGAGAAATTCAACAATAAAAGTCCATATTTGTACCTCCAAGTGGTATTTTCATATATTTGAGCTACTGTAAAAACACTTTGCTCAATAATTCCTGGCTATGGATGATATATTTGACTTCTACACATCTAAGACTACAAGTATACTTAATATCAAGCATTTTTACAGTACCAATTTGGAGAAATTGAAGAATAAAAGTCCCAAAGTTGAAGTTAAAACTAATTATTTTTCCCTTTTACCTACAAATGGACACAGCAGAGCAGCAAAATAAGAAGAATGTGGACTGCATTGCATTTTGTGAGAAAAGTAAACAAATTAGAATTGTGTAGGATTTTGTGTTTAGTGTTTATATTATCAAGATGTTATTAAACATTTGTGTGAAATTTTGTCATGATTACTGCAGCATTATTGAAGTATAATGAAAATGTTTCACCCATAGCCTGGAAATATTGAGCAATATGTTTTTACAGTAGCTCAAAAATATAAGAAAATATGGAATCTGGAAGTATAAATATGGGACCAAATTTGTACAGTAAAAATGCTTGATATTAAGTATGTTTGTAGTCTCATATGTGTAAAAGTCAAATATACCATCAGTAGCCAGGAAACACTGAGCAATATGTTTTTACAGTACCTCAAATATGGTCAAATATGCAATCTCTGGAGGCATAAATATGAGACTTTTATTTTGGCATTTCTCCACACTGGTGCAGTAAAGATGCTTGATATAAAGTGTTTTTTTTCATCAGGGGCACATGAAACACTTTAATGTAACATATTTTAATTATAGCTTACGCCTCTAAATACCTTTATTTTGAAAACCGGAAGTAAATACGCTGTTTCTCCGCATTTACCATAATGCTGAGAATACTTGTACACTCTAAATTTAAGTGCGGCTGATTTGACCACGGAGATCGGACTCACGGCTGGATTGACCGCAGTCTACTAGTCTACTGTTTCTTCTCCACAGCACCGTCCTGTAAATGACAACATCCGGTTTCAGAATATGAAAAACAGGCCTTTTTCTGTTTCTGTTTTCTAGTGATTTTAATTTTTGTTATATGAAATAGAAAATGAAAATAGAATAATTTTTTAAATTTCGCTCATCCCTTTCTGACCATGAAAAAGAAAAACGCCTTGTATTTCAATTTTAATTTTTGTATTTTAAAACGAAAATCAAATAACCACTCGTTTTCTGTTTTTTAATACCCGTTTCTGAAAGGAAAATCCAATGACCAAAACATACACGGACCGTGGAGCAAGGTACGTTTTATCAGTCTGTTTTCTGGGAATAATTGACACAAGCAGAAACCAGAAAACAAGCCGTTTTTTCGTTTTGTCAAAAAAAGGAAAATCAAAAGTTCAGCTCGTTTATTCGTTTTTTGGTTCTTACTTAACAAAACGAATTTACCACTCAATATCTTGTTTCCGTCGGTGGGCGGGTCCTCTCATTGGCTAGTGTGCTTCGTTGCCCTGGGTGATTACTGGCTGGGTGTGCCTATGAATATAGGCTACAGTGAGTTTTTTAAGGTGCTGTACAAGCAAATCATATTGTCTACTCTGTACAGTTATTGTATTGTCATCCCAGGACAAAACACAAATAATGCTGTAATGTAATAATATACATCTTTAAATACACAATAATGAGTCATTCAGAGACTTATTAAATGTTTTTATTGGCTCCCAGAATGCAGGTCTGTTAGTGACTCCCAGTATCTCTAAAAACAGACTGGGAAGTAGAGCCTTCAGTTACTGGGCCTCCTTTACTGTGGAACCAGCTTGCCTGCTGACATGTTAAAATGACTGTCACAACTGCCATGAGCAAAGAGCAAAACCATTTGTTCATAGTGTAGGCTACAGTAGCTTATTCAATATTGAATGAAGTAGGTTACTGTACACTCTTTGTCACTGTACAGAGTAGACAATATGGTTTGCTTGTACAGCACCTTAAAAAACTCACTGTAGCCTATATTCATAGGCACACCCAGCCAGTAATCACCGTCAGTAAATAATAATATGAAAACAATATAAAATATCTTTCAACAAGAATAATTTGTTTACTGTAAATGGATAAAGGTCAACAGATGCGCAATGTTCAGCTGTCATGTAATAACTGCGCCACCTTGTGGCTAAACATCAACTGCACTGAAGTCATCATAACTTCATAAGTTCTCATTTTCAAATGATTAAGAATAATATTATTGTTATTTGAAGCCGTGTCAGTCTTGACTGTGGGTGATGGGGTCCTCTGTGTCTGCTAGTGTCTATAATACAGTCATATTTTTGTCGACATTATCAAACTGAAAAACTTTTATTTTGAAGAGCACAGGGCAACGAAGCACACTAGCCAATCAGAGGACCCGCCCACCGACGGAAACAAGATATTGAGTGGTAAATTCGTTTTGTTAAGTAAGAACCAAAAAACGAATAAACGAGCTGAACTTTTGATGGTTTGTTTTCTGGTTTCTGCTTGTGTCAATTATTCCCAGAAAACAGACTGATAAAACGTACCTTGCTCAATGTGAGATAGAAAAGTAACTTTTTCCAACTTTACAAAGCCTTTATTTGTGTATTTTTCACACCAGCAGGGGGAGACATACTTCAACACATGTAACAAGGAGAAGAACTCCATTAACACAGTGCTGTTCCCTGCTAATCCAGTTAGCTGTGATGTAGATAACTGACACCGCCCCTGTTCATTATATTGTAACAGTGATGTGTTCTTGTCCACTGAACCTACAGGACATGAACAGAAAGCCCAAAGTAGGAGGTCACAGTGTCTTTAACATGATGTTAATGATCTTCATACTTGGCTTCTTTCATCTGCCGAGGATTAAGGGTGAGAAAAAATATAAATTCCAAACAAAGTAAGACTTTTCACAGTGTCACAGTTAATGACTTCAGTATCTGAAATGTTGTTTCCCCCCACAGGTGCCTCTAAAACCAACAGCGTCCTCCAAACACCTCCTTTCATCATTAAGAGAGCCGGTGAATCGGTTTCCAGTGGCATCAACTGTTCACACAAAACAAATCATGAAATGATTCTCTGGTACAAACAAGAAGGACAAGGAGCTCTAAAGCTTCTGGGAAATTTGTATGCAACTACTGTAAATCTCGAGGACGACGTGAAAGGAAAAATCAGCTTTGATGGAGATGGTCGTAAACAGTCGAGCCTCACTATTTCTAATCTTACATTAAATGACACTGGCGTGTATTTCTGTGCTGCCAGACTGCACAGTGATGCAGATTCCGTTCAAGTCAATACAAAAACTCTCCTTTATCTGCCTGCAGATAGACAACATGTTAAGCCTCTTGAACACCTGCAGCTTTGAAGATTTTATCAACTTCGATGACAATTGTGACCTACTGACAGGACAAAACTACTGACAACACACATTCTTTGTGACAGTTTTACAGTTTTGACAATTATCATTTATATTACAACTATCTATTATTGTTCATCTTTTACTTGTCAGGTTCATAACTGATAGAATCTGAAAGAAGAAGAGGGGGCTGATAAAAACTCTGTTAGAGGTTGACTGATTAGAAACCTTCTTGTTACGTAAAAAATCAAAACCAGACTTAATCATTCTGTCTGCACATTTTAGTAATATCAGTCAAACTATATCACCAGTTTCTAATCTTTAAAAAATGTCTGATGCTTGGAATATAACTCAATACTGTCACATCACATGATCAACCTTCAGCTTGTCAGTGTTACTTATCAGAATTAAAGTTTGTGTACTGTGATGTACTGCAGGGGGACCCCTATTGCCATTTATACTGAAAACTTTGATACAACAGCTGACATGATCACATCACACAGTGACACTCCCATCTGCAGCTCTTCATATCAACTGTATGAGGTTGAGGTTGATTATATGGATATTATCAACAATAAACAAGGCCTCCTCAGATTGTGTTTTTGCTGTGGACTCAAGTTAACTGAAATGACATCCTGACATACAGTGGAAATACGAGGGTGACAGTGCAACAATAGACACATTAACAAAACTGTCCTCCTCAGCTGTCAGTGTTACCGATCTGAATGTAGGGGGACCTCCAGTACCTCTTAACATCTGCTCATACACTTCAACTGACCATGTAGGTTTTTATACAGCAGCTCACAGGAGAAGGGGACGTCACACACTGCAGAGACACACCTACATCCAACTCTTCATCTCTCTGTGAATACACTGACAGACTCATATGAGACTTTGAGAGTTTTAGAACATGGACATTATCAAACATGGTCTCCTCAGCTTGTTGGTATTTGTTCTCTGGATACGAGGTTAAGTACCGTAAGATCTGAACATTTATTTCAAAGATCAAATGTCTCCTTATGGTAACTTTTACTGTTTTACACACAGGTCTAACTGATGGGAGCGATGTCACCCAGAATGAGACACTGTGGAAATTAAAGGGCGACAGTGCAACAATAGACTGCAGACACACGAAGGGTGTTGGCTACAACTACATGTACTGGTTCAGACAGCTGCCAGGAGAAACAATGAAACTAATCGTGTTCACATCACTTGGCAGTGATAATTATGACTTTGGAAATTTTAGTAAAGAGAAATTCTCAGCCACCAAACCTGACGTTGCCAGTGGGACATTCACAGTGAACAATCTGGAGCCAGAAGATAAAGGCTTGTACTTCTGTGCTGTGAGTCAACACAGTGATACAGACACATGTGAAAGCTGAACAAAAACCTCAGTACACTGTTACCAACTGGAGTTATCTGCTCTACTGTAACAGAACTTCAAACACAATCTCACAACATCACATCATACAGCGACACTCCCACCTGCAACTCTTCATCACGCTGTAACGTCACACCTCCCATAATACACACCCTGACACCGACTCCGGTCTCCAAGTTCATGTTACTCAGAACACAATAATGATCACTGCTGGTCTGATCAGACTCTCTGCAGCTCTGCTCTGGATTGTAGGTACTGTACACTCTGATGCTGATGACTGAGAGGAGAATCTGTTACTTTAAAGTCATACTAATGATTTTATATTGATCATTCTGTCAGCATACAGAGGACCTGCTGGTGGTCCTGTAACATGACATGTGATTTTCTTTTTTACCCCCACAGGTCTAATTGATGGGAGTGATGTCACTCAGACACCTTTGCTGTGGAAGGTCAAGGATCAGTCTGCCACAATGAACTGCAGTCACAACAAGGATGCTACTTTTTACCAGATGTACTGGTACAGACAGCTACCAGGAGAGGGGATGAAGCAAATAGTTCTCACCACTACAATTCCCCCGTTTCAATATGAAAGTGGCTTCAGCGAGGACAAGTTTCCAGCGCAGAAGAACAACCCTCAGACTGGATCTTTGACAGTGGAGAAGCTGCTGCCTGAGGACAGTGGAGTGTATTTTTGTGCTGTGAGTCAACACAGTGATACAGGTGGCTGAGACAGCTGTACAAATACCCAACTGTTGCTGTCACAATGAATAGAAGACATCATCACTGTGTATAATTCTCTGTAGGAGGAGCTGGAGACCTGTATGCTACATTAAGATTTTGAGCAGTCAGTGTTATTTATTATATCAGTAGCTTTGTAATATAATTGTTATACTGGAGTGTAGAAACATATTGTACAAGTTAAAGGTCAGTGAATGAGATATGACATACAAAACGAATACAGAAATTGTCACACCATATGTACTCTACATTTAATCCAATTCAGTGCTGATTTAATAACTTTTGTTCCTTTTGTATTCCAGTTACTTTATACACTCTTTTTTAAATGATGTATTATGTTTCTCTTTCTGTGACCCTTTAACCTAAAAAAAATGATAGAAAATCATGTTTCCTACTTTTCATGCATTACAGAACTGAGTGAAATTACTACACTGTATTTTGTGACACATAACTGTCTGAATATAGAATAAATAGACATTTTATCTATAAACCTCCATCACCTCTGGGTTTACTGCCAAAGATACTGACAAACACCTGGAACCAACCACCCTCACCAAATGTTCAACATCCTCCTGTTTTATATTCATAAATGACCGAATCATTTTAAGACATTTTGTTTTACAACTGACAGGTATCTCAAATCAGGTTCAAAATTAGAACTGTTAACATGTATGATCACTGCCTCATATTGCATGTACAGCCTGATCTTCCATCATTTTAAAAAGGTGTGTTCAATTCAGTGCATTAACAAAACTGGCCTCCTCAGCTGTCAGTGTTACCGGTCTGAATGTAGGGGGGACCTCCAGTACCTCCTAACATCTGCTCATACACTTCAACTGACCATGTAGGTTTTTATACAGCAGCTCACAGGAGAAGGGGACGTCACACACTGCAGAGACACACCTACATCCAACTCTTCATCTCTCTGTGAATACACTGATAGACTCATATGAGACTTTGAGAGTTTTAGAACATGGACATTATCAAACATGGTCTCCTCAGCTTGTTGGTATTTGTTCTCTGGATACGAGGTTAAGTACCGTAAGATCTGAACATTTATTTCAAAGAACAAATGTTTCCCTAAGGTAACTTTTACTGTTTTACACACAGGTCTAACTGCTGGGGATGATGTCACCCAGAATGAGACACTGTGGAAGTTCAGTGGCGACAGTGCAACAATAGACTGCAGTCACACGAAGGGTGCTGGATACTTCCAGATGTACTGGTACAGACAGCTACCAGGAGAGGGGATGAAGCAAATAGTTCTCACCACTACAACTCCCCCACATACATATGAAAGTGGCTTCAGCGAGGACAAGTTTCCAGCGCAGAAGAACGACCCTCAGACTGGATCTTTGACAGTGAAGAAGCTGCTGCCTGAGGACAGTGGAGTGTATTTTTGTGCTGTGAGTCAACACAGTGATACAGGTGGCTGAGACAGCTGTACAAATACCCAACTGTTGCTGTCACAATGAATAGACATCATCACTGTGTATAATTCTCTGTAGGAGGAGCTGGAGACCTGTATACTACATTAAGATTTTGAGCAGTCAGTGTTATTTTTTATATCAGTAGCTTTGTGATATAATTGTTATACTGGAGTGTAGAAATATGTTGAAGTTAAAGGTCAGTGAATGTGAAATGACATACAAAACAAATACAGAAATTGTCACATCACTACTTTTTACATTCTGTATTAGGTTTCTTTCTCTGACCCTTAAATGTAAAAAAACCCAACATGTTTCCTACTTTTCATGCATTACAGAACTGTGTGAAATTACTACACTGTATTTTGTGACAGATAACTGTCTGAATCTAGAATCAAAAGACATTTTATCTATAAACCTCCATCACCTCTGGGTTTACTGCCAAATATAGTGACTAGCACCTGGAACCAATTGAATCCAAACCCTATCAAAAACGTTTTATGACTCTGTGTCTGATGTGTCCTGACTACTAACAAATGTTAATAAAGACCAATGTAGGCAGCCTGTCTGTTAATTCACATGTATCACCAGTGTGTGCTGTCTCACAGTAATAACACACCTTTTTACAGACAGCATCATCATGTGACAGGATGGAGGACGAGATGCTGTTATCAGCTTTGTTGAACTCATCACTGTAACTATAATTTTTCTGTTCAGCAGATTAAAATGATCTGATCTTCACTGTGTCCCTGTTCAGAGCTAAAGGTTTTATACTTTTGCACAAAAACACAAACACGAGAAGAAAGAGCTGATTGTTGAGTCTCATGATCATCAAATACTGACGCTGGGAATGAAACTCAACAATCAACTATCTTCAAGCCACCAACCCACAGTGTCCATCTTTCTTGGCTCTGTCTGGTGGATTCTTGTTAATTCCATTAGTAGCACTAGGAGGAGCCAGAGGAACCAGATTTATTTACCTGATCTGACTCACGTACTACAGTAAGGATAAGTTTCAGTAAATATGACAAAAAGTTATTTTTATAAAAGTTACCTACTGCAGCTTTAATGACATAAAACCACTGAAATATGGATGTGTTCAAAGATTTGTTTTTATATATTATATTTTCTTAAAGAGCATTTCAAACCCTCTGATAAGAAAATATACCATAAATTCAATTACAGTTTGGTTTTGTATGGAGTTGCAGTAATTATATTTTCAGATTAATCATTTAGTTGACGGATAGTAAAAATAAAATAGTAAAGATGACCAATCATCAATCCCAGAGTCATTATTAGCTTGTTCTGCAAAGCAAACAAAGCCCAAAACATAGCTACTGTTTGGCTTTTTTGGTCTTGATAAATGTTTACAACATAATGAAAATCTGTCTCCTCCCATCTAAGCTGATCCCTGAACGTCTGTTCAGTCCGTCAGTGCAAAGACAGAGAGGAAGATAAAGACATCATGATCAGAAAGCTCAACAGGATCACTCTGCTGCTTCTCTGGCTCTCCTGTAGGTTTCAATTCAAATTCTAAAAGTTATATTTTTTTGAAACCATCTCTGTTTTCTTAATGTTTTCTCTTTAAATGCAGGTTGTTCACTGAGCACTAAAGTCCATCAGGCTCCATTGTCAATATTAGGAAGTCCCAATGGTTCACCAGAAATCAGCTGCAACCATTCAATCAGTTCATACAATCAAATATTGTGGTACCAGCAGCCGATGGGGGACTCTGACCTTAAACTCATTGGATATATTTATTTTGATAATCCAACCATCGAGGATGAATTCAAACAGCATTTCAATATAACTGGAAATGGCTCCACGAAATCTCAACTTCATGTGCAGAAACTCAGAGATCCAGAAGACAGTGCCACGTACTTCTGTGCAGCGAGTAAGCACAGTGACTCAATTTCCCTCTCCCCTTTACAAAAACCCTCTCTGATAATCAGCCACATAAAGTCACGCTGAAGAGGAGCACACCTGCATCAAACTGCAGCCTGTGGCAGGAAATCAACACTGATATCAACCTTAAAACAGTCTTTTCCTGTGTTTACCAGGAGAGCAGGACACTGTACAAACTCACTGATGAAGACATGTGACGGTCCGTAAAGCAGACTCCTCCTCCTCGTCCTCTACATCCAGGCAGCTCTCTTCAGTTTGCAGTCATTATTGTTTTCTTTTCATCTACCTTACAATCATGATCAGACTTCTTATACGTTTAGCAGCTCTGCCGTTCTGTTTAACAGGTAATATGCATTAACTCATAACTAAATATTTTCAATTAAGTTTAAGTTTATTCGTCACTAAAGCTGTTTGTTTTAAATGTCTCTTGCAGAACTCTCAAAAACCAGCGTTCATCAGACTCCCACTGCCATGATTAAAGATGCTGGAGAAGACATCCTGATGAACTGCAACCATTCAAACACTGCTTTTAATATGATCCAGTGGTACAAACAGTCTGCTGGAGAATATGATATGGCTTTAATTGGTTATGTACGATTCACTTCTGCGGTTGTTGAAGATAAATTCAAAGACTCTCATAATGTGAGCGGTGATGGATCAAGTCTGGCACATCTTCATATTCCAAAGAGTCGATCCGAGAACAGCGCAGTGTATTTCTGTGCAGCCAGTAGAGCACAGTGCTACACAAACCCTCCGTCTTTAACAAAAACCTTCTCTGACGCAGCCAGTTACAGAAATTACCACTTGAACCACATTGTGAATGACTGATAGACAGCTGGTGCACCATGAGACAGGTAGATTCTTAGTTTATCCATTAGGGTGCAGTGTTTTTCCAAATCTGTTGATGCTGAATTTGATGTTGTTGAATTTAATCAGTTCTATATACGTGTAGTTTATATGGTGAATATTACTAATTCAGCTTTTTAACATTTTTAACAGCAATTCAACAATTCATGGACTGAAGAGACTGTGTTTTGTTTGGTCTTTAAAACAGCAGTAACATCACATAAAATGTATTTGTTATTATTAACACTGCTATTTATTACTTCCTTGAGGTGGCTGTGTGTATTTTACCCCCAGCGGTGCGTAATGGTAACTGGAATGATGGTTTTAATATTTAGAAAAGGAGGATATGACGTTGTTTTTCTGATAGGAGGACTTAATCAGAAAGGGAGGAGGGAATCCTCTGTATACCAGCATAGTGAAGAAAACAGCACCAGAAACAAGACTGACTTTAAAAACACAACATGATGATCATTGTCTGCTGCATAACCTTGAATGTTATACTGGTTTCAGGTAATGAAAAGTATTTTTAGATGATTGGTGTTTATCTTTGCAAAAAGATTGTTTGCCTGTAGTATGAAAGAACGTTTCATACTACAGGCTCTGGCATATAAACTGAATTATATAAAATGAAATAAAAATAAGCACATGTACTTTCAGAGATTCAAAGAAACCATTGGGCTTTTAAAGTAAAGAAACATTATTTTTATTTCCACTTCCTCTCTAACTTTAACTGGTGTCTGGTGCTCAACTGCAATCACTGATATATTGTGTGTTGTTTCTCTTGATGGCTTTTCCACAGGTTCCTCTCTAAATGAACTAGTCTACCAGAAGCCAGCCCACACTTTCAACAAACCTGAAGGAGCAGCTAAAATTGAGTGTTCAAAGTATACAGTATTCAAAAATATGATACAATCCTCTGGTACAAGAAATCAAAGAGCAGACTGCTGCAGTTGCTTGGATACATGGTGGGAGGCAGTGGATACCCAGAGACTGGAGTGAAGGTGAAGATAGCAGGGAGTGCAAATAAAGACCAAAACTGCACATTAACAACTGAAGAACTCCAGCTGAACAGGAGTGCAGTGTACTTCTGTGCTGCTAGATTACACAATGCTACATATCACTGCTCCTCAGTACAAAAACCTCCACAACACATGTTTTATCTCACACCTTCTTGCACCTGTATGCTTTAATCAGACCTTTATACAGAGGCAGCAGTGGTAGTTGACATGATGGTTGTAATGTTAAGAGGAGGAGGATACACTTATGACACCACCCACCTCATGCCTTCATGTTGGTTTGCTGATAGGAGGGTTTATTTAAAGAGGAGGATGGAAATAATCATAATCATCTGCCGACACACTGAGAATATCTTTTGTATCAACGATAAAATTATTACCAAACACAAAATACAACATGATCATCTTATTCCTAAGCATTCATTTGAACACTATTCTGGTTTCAGGTAATGTTATCCTTAGTTGTTAACATCTGTTTATACTTTAGTGTTTTACAGTGCTGCTATTTTAGCTGTAACTGAATTTTATTACATTGTTGAATTTACCAGCACTCATTCTTATACACTGTCTTGTCTTTTCAGCAGGTTCCTCTCTCAGTGACCAAGTCCATCAGACTCCAGCTGACATTTACAACACACCAGGACAAATAGCCAAGATCGAATGTTTCCACACCAATCCAAGCTTTAACCAAATCCTCTGGTACAAGCAAACAGACGGACAACTACAGTTCCTGGGATATTTGTATTTTAACAATGGATACCCAGAGAATGGAGTGAAGGTTAAGATAGAAGGGGGTGCAAATAAAGACCAAACCTGCACGTTAACAATTGAAGAACTCCAGCTGAACAGCAGTGCAGTGTACTTCTGTGCTGCTAGTATACACAGTGCTACATATCACTGCTCCTCAGTACAAAAACCTCCACAACACATGTTTTCAGCCTCTTGCACCTGTATGCTTTCAATTTATGAGGTGGTGATATATCTTATTACTACACTGTATTTTGTGACACATGACTGTCTGAATCTAGAATAAAAAGACATTTTATCTATAAACCTCCATCACCTCTGGGTTTACTGCCAAAGATAGTGACTAGCACCTGGAACCAACCACCCTCACGAAATGTTCACCATCCTCCTGTTTTATATTCATAAATGACACAAGACATTTTGTTTACAACTGACAGGTATCTCAAATCAGTGGTTCAAAATTAGAACTGGTAACTTGTATGATCACTGCCTCATATTGCATGTACAGCCTGATCTTCCATCATTTTAAAAAAGGTGTGTTCAATTCAGTGCATTAACAAAACTGTCCTCCTCAGCTGTCAGTGTTACCGATCTGAATGTAGGGGGACCTCCAGTACCTCCTAACATCTGCTCATACACTTCAACTGACCATGTAGGTTTTTATACAGCAGCTCACAGGAGAAGGGGACGTCACACACTGCAGAGACACACCTACATCCAACTTTTCCTCTCTCTGTGAATACACTGACAGATTCATATGAGACTTTGAGAGTTTTAGAACATGGACATTATCAAACATGGTCTCCTCAGCTTGTTGGTATTTGCGCTCTGGATACAAGGTTAAGTACCGCAAGATCTGAACATTTATTTCAAAGATCAAATGTCTCCTTATGCTAACTTTTACTGTTCTACACACAGGTCTCATTGATGGGAGCGATGTCACCCAGAATGAGACACTGTGGAAATTCAAGGGCGACAATGCAACAATAGACTGCAGACACACGAAGGGTGTTGGCTACAATGACATGTACTGGTACAGACAGCTGCCAGGAGAAACAATGAAACAAACTGTGTTCACATCACTTGGCATGGATAATCATTACTTTGGAAATTTTAGCAAAGAGAAATTCTCAGCCACCAAACCTGACTTTGCCAGTGGGACATTCACAGTGAACAATCTGGAGCCAGAAGATAAAGGCTTGTACTTCTGTGCTGTGAGTCAACACAGTGATACAGACACATGTGAAAGCTGAACAAAAACCTCAGTACACTGTCGGCATAAGTGCTGCAATTATCTCACGTACTGTAGAGGGACCTCAAGAACCGCAAATCCTCCCAGTTACACTTTGTGGATTTTGATAAGGAAGCCAACACATGACACTCCCATCTGCAACTTTATAGATCTCCAACTGCTCTTGACAATTATTAGTCCTGTTGCACTCTCTGAATGGGAGAACATGGACTTTTTCAAACGTGGTCTCCTAATATTTCTGCTCTGGATTAAAGGTAAAATCTACCAACAACATTATAATCTTTAACTTTTGTTAGGTTAACCAGCAAAAGTTAAAAATATGTTTAAATTGTCAACTATAGGACAGTTAAAATATTCACATGTGCTAACACCTTATTTTACACACAGGTCTAACTGCTGGGGATGATGTCACCCAGACTGACAAACTGTGGAAGTTCAATGGCGACAGTGCAACAATAGACTGCAGTCACACGAAGGGTGCTGGCTACTTCCAGATGTACTGGTACAGACAAGATGGAGGACGAGATGCTGTTATCAGTTTTGTTGAACTCATCACTGTAACTGTGATTTGTCTGATCAGCAGATTAAAATGATCTGATCTTCACTGTGTCCCTGTTCAGAGCTACAGGTATTATACTTTTACACTTACTGTGATGTAGATAGTTGTCAAGTTGCACAAAAACACAAACACGAGAAGAAAGAGTTGATTGTTGAGTCTCATGATCATCAAATACTGATGCCTGGAATGAAACTCAGCAATCAACTATCTTCAAGCCACCAACCCACAGTGTCCATCTTTCCTGGCTCTGTCTGGTGGATTCTTATTAATTCCATTCGTAGCAATTGGAGGAGCCAGAGGAACCAGATTTATTTACCTGATCTGACTCATGTACTACAGTCAGGATAAGTTTCAGTAAATATGACAAAAAGTTATTTTCATAAAAGTTACCTACTGCAGCTTTAATGACAAAACCAGTGAAATATGGATGTGTTCAAAGATTTGTTTGTATATATTATATTTTCTTAAACAGCAATTCAAACCCTCTGATAAGAAAATATGGCATAAATTCAATTACAGTTTGATTTTGTATGGAGTTGCAGTAATTATATTTTCAGATCAAAGCTGCAAGCAGCGTTGGAAGGGACCTCGCCATCCCCCCATGTCGGGGCCTGCACGGCGGTTGCCCGCCGCAGCCGCCCCACACCACTTCGACCCACGGCCAAGCCCTCATCGCCGGAAGCTAAGGGAAACCGGTCTACGTCGTCATGCGTTTCAGACACCGTGCAAAAGACTTCATAGTGAGACTCTTCACTGCGAACCATGGAAATTCAGCGCCACACCATGGACACGCCGTTTGGCAAAAAAATCTGTAGGAGGAGTTAGTTAAAATAGAAGCCCTGAAATGCCGGAAATGGCATCACAGTTTGACATTTGATTCAACCTGGCCAACTTTGACGGCACGCCACGGACACGCCTTTCAAAGTACAGTCACAAATAGCACAACTTTTAATCAGCAACATACTTTGACTGAGCAGACCAATTTTGAAGCAGAGCCAATGAATTCCCTAGGAGGAGTGCGTTCAAATATAATGTGAAACGTTCGCCGAAAGTTAAAATGAAAATCAAAATGTCCGACTTCCCGTAGGGTTTGGGGTATGGGTCCAAGAGGCTTTTCTGTACGTCTCGGCACTTTACACGTGCCTGCCGAGTTTCATACATATCGGTGAAACGTGGCGCCGGGACTGATTTTTTAAAATCTGCTAGGGGGCGCTACAAACACGCTTCAGGCACCACTCTACACGTGTCCTGTGAATTTCATATTCATAACCATTACGGTCTTCACACAGTGATTTACCCTGCCACCAGATTGCCACCTAGTGGCGGACTGTTGACACATTTTTAGCAAGCCTCAGGGAGCCATGGGCAAGCATCTTACCACGTTCCGCGCTCTAACAAAAAAAATGTATAGGTGGAAGTGGATGTGGCCTATATGGGGAGATTCAAGTTTTTTGAATGTGTGACAAACTATGCAGAAGTTATTAGCCTAAACACACTTTTTATGATAGTAGCACCACCTGGTGGCAGACCCGAAAGTGACGCAAAGAATATCCAATTTTTCACCAGGCTTGACCACTTTGCCAAATAATATTGATTTTTCGTATATTTTCAGGGGGGCAAAAACGCAGTCAAAGGGGGCTAAAAATACTAGGTAAGAATAATAATAAGAAACTTAGCAAATGCAATAGGGACCTCCAGCGGTCGCTGGCTCGGTCCCTAATAATAGCTAAGAAGAAACATAGCAAATACAATAGGGACCTCAAGTGGTCGCTGGCTCTGTCCTTAAATAGGTAAGAAGAATAAGAATTCTGCGGCAGCTGGCTCGGTCCCTAATAACAGTGACTTCATTCAACAGGTGTTTATTTATTCATTGTCAGAAAATACAGTCATACGTGTTTTTACTGTAACTCTGTTTACATGATACTCTGCCCCTCTAACAATAAACAATAAAACATACTGAAAAAAATAAAAGTTTAAAACAAGATTGAGGCCTGAAGAACATTAATCTGTTGTTTCCATGGAAACCAGTGAAGAAGAAGAAGAAGAAGAAGAAGAAGAAGATATACTGTATTAATCCCCTAGGGGAAGTGTGGGTTTGTGTGAGTGTGTGTCAGTAACACAGGGTGGGTTGGTGTTCAGGTTTCCAGCAGATGTTCTCAGAGGTCAAACGTTGTTTGGCTTGGGTTTGGACTTGGATTGTTCAGAAACTGTAGTGAAGAAAGAGAACACACACACACACACACACACACACACACACACACACACACACACACACACACACACACACAGGTTTCAGTGTGCACAGTGCCCTCTGCTGGTGACAGAAATGTACCAGGCTCGGCTTAATGAATAATAATTGTTAGTATTGAGTTGTTGTTGTTAGTTTGCTTTATTTAGATTTTTAGGGCCCGAGCACTGTAATTGAAGGGATTCTTTTTCCTCCCAAACAAACGCATTTTTGGAGGCCGCAACATGCTTGAAACGCGGTGCACATGTTCGTCGTGGCGAAAAATTCTAGGGGTCCACTATGAGCATAGCAAAATGGGCTCTCAGGGGCCCATAAACTGTACCACCCGGGGCCCCTTTCAACCGAAAGTTGTGCTATTTACGTTATTCTGTCAAACAGCATACACGTAGCTTGGGATTTGTCATAACTTCTGCGTACATTATCCGATCTCAATGAAACCTCACATGTTTAATAAGAGTCCCTCCCTGAACACGTCTACGTGATAATATTCAGTAACAGTGAGAGCGCTACGTAGTGGCAACAGGAAGTATCACGTTTTATACTTTCATGTTCTACTCCTAGCAAGATGATCAGATCCAGCTGAAATTTACTTATAAAAGGCAAAAAATATGTAATTTTTATACTTTTATATATATCTTCCAGCAGATTGACCAGATCCAGCTGAAGTTCAGTCAGAAAAGCAAAAAAGCCTCTTGGACCCATAACCCAAACCGAACAGGAAGTCAGCCATTTTGAATTTCGTGGTCATTTTCTGCGAATTTTTCAGAATTGGTATATAATTTTTTTTTCTGCGTATTGGGGAACACCTGAGGGTATCTGTAGGAGGACCAACATGCACCTGGGTGGGCTGATGGTTTTGTCTTTCTTCCTTAGATTGCTATTTATTTATTATTTATTCATTTATGAATGAAGTACACAGTTACATGGACAGTGCGATACATTGCAGTGCAGCAGTGACCTGTTTGAGTTTGAGGCCCCTCCAGTATTCACATTATTATTACATGAACACTTATAGTGACAAAAGACACAAATACTGTAAAAGTATGATCTTGGGTCTACGTTCAGTCTTGTTTTGTCTCAGAGAAACAACGTTGTAAAACTGTCAGTGAGTGCAGTCACTGCGCTCTCCCTCGCTGTCTCTGAGCTTCAGCTGCAGTTCAGATTCAAGAAATGTGGGAATTAAAATAATGGGAATCTTCATGTTTTCCACTGGGAACTCTGACTCCATCTGGGGATTATTAGCTGAGAACCATTGGAGCTGATAGGGATAACAGTTCACATATTAGTGTGCTAGTGCTCGCTAACTAGGTTTTACTGTGCTAATTAAAAGTTACAGTTACTGGTTAAACCTCAATGACACATCCAGGTTTACAATAATAAAGTAGATGTAGTCATGAAGAAGACGCTGTAGTTGTGCACTGCAGATATATCATACAATATAATACAAACACATAGTTGTCATTTTAAGAACTCTTACATATTTAATAAGCACATAACTGCTGTTCTGAATAAAACACATTAAAATGGACAGTGAGGGGCAGTATAACCCAACACAACAACAGACACATTACAAACAAACATTAGGGGCATTGGGGGTTAGGGGGTTACATCTGTTACCTGTTCTAGGATTCTATAAAATCATTATTCATTCCTTCGTAATGTTTATATATACCTATTATGTATATTATATATACCTATTATACATGTTATATATATATATATATATATATATATATATATATATATTATAACTAGGGCTGTCAAAGTAACGCGTTAACGCAAGATGATTAATTTCTGGAATTAACGGCGATCATTTTTTTTAACTCATTAACGCATTCCCGCCCTGTTTTACCCATAATTCAACCCCCACCGTGTTCATTCCTCGTCGCGTAAACAGCATTGCTGACACGAGCGAGATGGAGGAGCTGGAAATGATCAAGCACCTGAACCGCAATCAAGCAGCAATAAAAGCAACCCTGGACCAACAACACCAGAAACTGGTTATGCTGACGCCACCAGAATGGGACAAACTGCAGAGACTGAGCACTCTTCTAGAGCCCTGCAGGTAAGGAATACACATATAATGTGCAAATTGAAAAATTAAATTGAACTGATCAAGAATTAAATGTTTAACTGATTTGTCAGCATACCAACTGGTGTTCAAATAACTTATATATCACATATATGTGTGTGTTTGTTTGTGTGTGTTATTCTACTGCAGGTATGTAACTGAGATTCTAGGTGGAGAGGCCTATATCTCCTTCTCAGTAGTACTGCCTGCCCTCTGCCACCTGCGTCAAGTGATGAAGGTCTCTGAAGAAGGCCCTGCATATGTGGTGAGATTTAAGACAATCTTCATGGAAGACCTAGCCTCCCGCCAAGAAAATACTAACAATGCATGGCTCAAGCTTGCAACGGCGCTGGATCCATGTTTCAAAGACTTGAAGAGTCTGCCCAAGAATGAAAGGGAAGAGGTGTGGACCTCACTTGGAGGCATGCTTTATGAACAATCACCGAGAAGGTCTCTGCTGACATCTCAAGATGGACGACCCAGGAAGAAAACTCACCTTCTACAGATGGGCTCAGATTCAGAGTCAGATGAAGAGGTGCAATCTGACATATGAGACATACATAGGTTCAGAGCAGAGCCAAGCATAAGTATGGAGGACTGCCCCATGCAGTGGTGGGCTGCTCATTCAGGACCACATGACAAGCTGGCCCTACTTGCCCGCAAATATCTAGTGACTCCTGCATCCACGGTTCCATGCAACGACTCTTCTCAGTCGCCGGCCATATTGTTCAGAAAAAACAGTCCGCTTTAAATTCAGAAAATGTTAACCAGTTAGTTTGCCTTAGCAACTGGCTAAAAGATGAATAAATAAAAGGTAAAAGGGCCACATGTAATTGTGAGAAAGTGGAGTTCCATTCATCTATCCTGCATTTGCTAAAAAAAAAAGAGCAATGGCTAAGTTGCCAAAATTGTTTAGAATTAAATTATTTTTTGGGATTTGTCATTAATAAAAAACAAATGTAATATCCGCTTCTTGTCATTTATCTTTCTGTTCTGAGAACAGTACACAGAAAATGAGAATTTTTCAGTCATATTTAGGATTGTGATTAATCGAAATTAATTCAAAAACCCTTGTGATTGATTAGATTAAAATTTTTAATCATTTGACAGCCCTAATTATAACTGTACCTGACTGTAAAATAAAAGCAGGTCTCAGTGATGAAGACGAGGTTCAGGTTGTGTATGTACCTTTGATGTAGACGTTGAAGACGTTGTCCTGTACGGTTGTCAGAGCTGTGGCCAGTTCATTATCAGAGGAGAACACCACCATCTCATCATTATCTGAAACACACACTCAACATCACCATCATCATTGTTCGTCGTCGTCGTCGTCGTCGTCATCATCAATCAAAGATAGACGGAATAAAGTAGACCTGCCCACAGCAGGTGTCCATCAGCACACCTTTGCTCATATATTACAGACACGTGAATGTAAGCCCATAATGTTAGACATAGTAGATACAGTGGATACAGTACATACAGTATATAAAGTACATACAGTAGATACAGTAAATAAAGTACATAAAGGAGGCACTGAGCAGACACAAAAACTGTACACACAGACAACATCAACAGCAGATCAGATATAAAGGTCACAGAGGGTGAAACAGCAGAGGTCACACACACCTACAATGAACTGCTACTGAACTCAGATCAGCACTTTGGCTACAGGGATAATTTTGGGGAAGCAAGGAAAAGGAAACTAGCAACACTATATTATAAAACAGTGATATATTATAAAGCAGGGGTATATTATAAAGCAGTGATGTATTATAAAGCAGTGCTGTATTATAAAGCAGTTATATATTATAAAGAGGTTATATTATAAAGCAGTGGTATATTTTTTAACAATCTCTGATAAATGATTAACCCTGTTCAGTTTCGATTCCCTGTTTACAGGATAAACTGATGAACTAACTGTGATGAACTGATGAACTAACGGGGATGAACTGATGAACTAACTGTGATGAACTGATGAACTAACAGAGATGAATCCTGTCCTTAACAAGTGGAAACAAACATCTGAGCTCACATGCTGTAGCAGGTTATTATATATGTTTATTAAATCATATTTACCTTTGTAGTAGAGCTTGAAACGTTTTCTCAGATGAAACGCTTCTGCGATCTTGGTGTGAAAATACGCAAAGTTGCGATGGAAAAATGACTGAGAGACATCAAACTTCCGGACCTCCTTCACTGACTCGTTTTTCCCCAACAGGCGAGCGTGCACCTGCACCGGCATCCTGTAATCAGGGCCCGGGACTGACTTCACACAGACAATCTAAGTGAGAAACTTTCTTCTCGTCCTGCCTTTATCTAGAGCCACCTTCCTCTGTTGGCCTCTTGTGATTGGATGCTGAACGACTGTCAATGATAGTAACCTTAAATACTGTATAGAAGAGCATTAGGGCAAAAATTAATTGACTTTAAAGGGGAAAAAAGCAATGTCAGAATTCTGAATTTATATGAAAATTTTAATTTCTTCCTGCAAAACAAAATGTGACACATTCTTATGTAAGCACGCAACTTTATTATCACTGTACAAACACAACTACTTCAAAATTGGTCAGTACAGTCAAAAAACATTACTGATTAAAAGTTGTGCTATATGTGACTGTATGTTGAAGGCTGTGTCTATGGTGTGCCATCAAAGTTGGCCAGGTTGAACCCAATGTCAAACTGTGACAAATTTCAGGGCTTCTATTTGAACAAACTCCTCCTAGTGAATTGATCAGAACAATTTCAAAATTCGTGGATACAATGCAGAGAAGTTCAGGGTGTTACGTCATTAAAATCTTAACATTTGGTGATACGGTGTGTCCGTGGCGTGCCTTCAAAAATCAGCCTTGACATGACGATGGAAACCCTAAACCTACTGCTAAACCTAACTGCAGTACAGATTCTCCATTTGGACCCAAACTTTACAAGTTTGGTGAGAGCCCTGGCCTAAACGCATCTAAGTGCCAATTTTCATGTCGTGAATTAGACGTGACACGACCGCAGCCGTTCATTGCTGCATTTTATTTTTATTTTTATTTTTTATTTTTTCATTTGTATAGCGCCAATTCATAACAGAAGTTATCTCAGGACACTTTTCAAATAGAGAACTCCTTATAACATTATTTACAGAGACCCAACAGTTCCCACCATGAGCAAGCACTTTAACTTTTAACTTCCCCCAGTGCTAAAAACCTCAAAGTTTCCATAAACATACAGAATACGTGAACTTTCAGTTGTATATGCTCCATTCACAGGGCTCAAGAGTGATTGAAAACATGTCTTCTTTGCACGTATCTAACCAAGAGTTCCTGTCCCTTCACAGTCAGCTGCCACATTTCCTTTGGTTAGCAAGTCTGGAGAATGTGAATTTTCTTCCTCACCAGCCATGTGTTAACATTTAAATAGTGCAGTGTAAAGTCATTTCCTGGAACATACAAAGGAACTGACATTTCTGTTCTCAGTCTGTGTGGTTGAAAACGTCTCTTCACTGCATGTATCTAGTTCCTGTTTAGAGTTCTCACACAACTGACTGAGATATCACTATATATAAAAAAATTCTTTATTTGATGTATTTGGTTTTAGTAGCTATATTTTATAATGACAATGTGCTGCTCAGTCCCACCGAATGAACAACAACTCAGGATTAAATACATGCAGCACAGAAGATATATAATATATATATAAAAAAACAAAAAAAAACTTCTTGGGGTGGTATCTGTGTGTCATCCTCAAGCTCTGGTCCTCTACCAGAGGCCTGGGAGTTTGAGGGTTCTGCGCAGTATCTTAGCTGTTCCTAGGACTAATATATATACACATATATATATATACATACATATATATAGCAACAACTACACTAATAGTAGTGACTGATGGCGATGAACATGAAGAAGATGATGACGACGACAACGACGACGACGCGGGACAATGAGCAGTGATTATAGTAATAATAGTATCTGTAATAATAATATTAATTAAAGCTGCAAGCAGCGTTGGGCGGGACCTCACACTCCATGCAACTCGGGGCGTGCTGCGTGCGCATCATGTGCCGTTGTAACACGTGGTGCAGTAACACCTGCCGTCGTAACACGTGCAGACCACAACATGAAAATTTCACACAAATCAGACCAATGTGAAGTTTCGTTGAGATTGATCATGTATGCTGAAGTTATCACAACTTTCTTTTTCGTTGAAAGTCAGTCGTTGAAATTTGACGCCACGCTATGGGCATGCCGTTTGACACAGTCACAAATAGCACAACTTTTTATCTACAGTTTGTTTTGATTGTACTGACCAATTTTGAAATCACAATGGCCGACTTCCCGTTGGCTTGCACGTTACACGCGTCTACCAAGTTTCATACATATCGTGAAATGTGGCGGCAGGGCTGCTTTTTCTAAATACTGTAGGGGGCGCTACAAACATGACAAACATGAGTTTTGGTATGTGAGCTACAGGCAACAGTCTACACGTGTCCTCTGAATTTCATGTTCGTAAGTATTACGGTCTCCGCACAATGATTTACCATGCCACCAGAGCGCCACCTAGTGGCACATTGTTAACACATTTTTTAATCAAGCCTCAGGGAGCCATTGGCAATCATTGTGCCAAGTTTTGTTTTAATCACACGTGCGAGAAAATCACCATGGAATTCAAAATGGCCAACTTGAACAAGATGCTCAATTTGATGTTGTTGTTGGATTTAATCAACTCTATATCTGTGTAGTTTAATAAAGGCCAAAACTGCACATTAACAATTGAAGAACTCCAGTTGAGCAGCAGTGCAGTGTACTTCTGTGCTGCTAGATTACACAATGCTACATATCACTGCTCCTCAGTACAAAAACCTCCACAACACATGTTTTATCTCACAACCTCTTGCACCTGTATGCCTTAATCAGGCCTTTATACAGAGGCAGCAGTGGTAGTTGACATGATGGTTATAATGTTAAGAGGAGGAGGATACCCTTATAGCACCACCCACCTCATGCCTTCATGTTGGTTTGCTGATAGGAGGGTTTACTCAAAGAGGAGGATGGAAATAATCATAATCATCTGCCGACACACTGAAAATATTTTTTTATCAACGATAAAATTATTACCAAACACAAAAGACAACATGATCATCTTATTCCTAAGCATTCATTTGAACACTATTCTGGTTTCAGGTAATGTCGTCTGAGGTTTTGACATCTGTGTCGGGCTCAACATCGTGGGGTGTTACAGTGGTTTAACTGTATTAGGTTAATCAATTAATGGTTATCAAAATTTATAATTATCAAAAGATAATAGAAAATGACTTTAATTAATATTAAAGATCCTCGGGGCACCACCCTTAAATAAGGGAAACGATAATCAATAATCGATTGATCAGTCTCATAAAAATACACCAAACTATTAATTCAGAAGTCAGATTTATAATTGAATTAATAAATACAACCAAAATCATTATTAATAGCTAAAGTAGGAGCTTTGGAGTTCTACATAGAAAAGGTTGGTATCACCCACTCTTATACGAAATTAAATAGGCCAGCATATATAAACACAAGCATTTATTAAAAGGGATATAATAAAAGCAAACAGAGGAAAATACACTGTATACAATCTAACTTAAAGAAACTAAGTTAAAGGAAAAAGGTGTGTGTGTGTGTGTGTGTGTGTGTGTGTGTGTGTGTGTGTGTGTGTGTGTGTGTGTGTGTGTGTGTGTGTGTCAAGGAGGAGGAGGAGGAGGAGGAGGTTTAAATTTGTGTACTGTAAATAAGCATTAAAGGCCAGATGGTCCAATCATCTAAATTCAAAACTTATTCCTTTAGCTTTCTATTACTGCCAAATGAGTGAACAGATTATTTTAAATACTCAGAGTAAGACAAAGCAACAACCACGTCAACAAGACCCAGGACCCCCACTGACAGTGCCTGTTAAACCCACCACCCACCCTGAATCTATACATTACATTAATGCTCATCCATTGGCAGTAAACCTGATTCTGATTCAGAAGTCTACCATTAAAGGTGTTTTTTGTTGTTGTTTTTTAATAGGGCAATAACTTCTAAAGAAAGAAGGAAAAGGTTAGAATGAAGTTATACAGTGTCGTCTTTATTCTAATTGCACTGCATTCAACCTCAGATTGTTATTGATACCTCTGTCCTTTAAATGTTAAGTTAAAGTCGATCATTGTGAGTGAATCTGCAAACAAAAACAAACATGACCTATTACAAAAATATGCATTAGGTCATCCATTGAAGTACATAGTTAAGATCAATTCTCTAAGTTCAGAGTCAGTGCTGTATTTTCAACAATCTAACATCTAATATTGTATTATTATAGTACTTACTAGTTAGGTGCAACTCTTTACAAATTTGTTTGTTCAGATTATAAGAGGTATTTATTGTTTTGCTTCCTTTCATAAGGTGGGGGTATATCTTTACTGGTGTGCCGTGGTAGTTGACATGATGGTTTTAATTTAAGAGAGGAAGAAGCTCTATGACACCGCCTACCTTAAAAAGGTTGAGTTTGTTTTCCTGATAGGAGGGTTTACTCATAAAAGAAGATAGAAACAGTATACCAACCTACACTGTGATGAAAACAGAACCAATAACTACACTGAACTTAATAAAACACAACATCATGATAATCTTCCTCTGGATAACCATAAATGTTATACTAGTTTTAGGTAATAAAAAAGTCTTCATTGTTATTTTAACATGTGTATTTACAGTTGTCTGGATGCTGTAGTTAATTACATTGAATTTGCATGTTCAACCAGATTCAAGAAAAAGGACTTAGAGGATTTATTTGCACTCACTAACTGTGATTTAATATGTTCCTCTCTCAGTGACAAAGTCCACCAAACTCCAGCTGACGTGTACAAAAATCCAATGTTCACACAGTATTCAGGATTATAACCAGATCTACTGGTACAAGCAAACGAAGAACGGGCAGATGCAGCTCCTGGGATACATGAATGTAAACGATGGATATCCTGAAGATGGAGTGAATGTAAAGATGGAAGGGGGTGCACTGAAAGACCAAACGTGCACATTAATAATTGAAGAACTCCAGCTGAACAGCAGTGCAGTGTACTTCTGTGCTGCTAGTTCACACAGTGCTACATATCACTGCTCCTTAGTACAAAAACCTCCACAACACATTTTGTCATCTCGCTGCTTCAGCTCACAGCCTCTTGCACCTGTATGCTTTCCTTTTATGAGGTGGTGATATATCTTTAATCAGACCTTTATACAGAGGCAGCAGTGGTAGTTGACGTGATGGTTATAATGTTAAGAGGAGGAGAATACACTTATGACACCACCCACCTCATGCCTTCATGTTGGTTTGCTGATAGGAGGGTTTACTCAAAGAGGAGGATGGAAATAATCATAATCATCTGCCGACACACTGAGAATATCTTTTGTATCAACGATAAAATTATTAACAAACACAAAAGACAACATGATCATCTTATTCCTAAGCATTCATTTGAACACTATTCTGGTTTCAGGTAATGTTATCCTTAGTTGTTAACATCTGTTTATACTTTAGTGTTTTACAATGCTGCTATTTTAGCTGTAACTGAATTTTATAACATTGTTGAATTCACCAGCACTCATTCTTATACACTGTGTCTCATCTTTTCAGCAGGTTCCTCTCTCAGTGACCAAGTCCATCAGACTCCAGCTGACATTTACAACATTTCAGGACAAATAGCCAAGATCGAATGTTTCCACACCAATCCAAGCTTTAACCGAGTCCTCTGGTACAAGCAAACAAACGGACAACTGCAGTTCCTGGGATATATGTTAGCAAACACTGGAAACCCAGAGAATGGAGTGAAGGTTAAGATAGAAGGGGGTGCAAATAAAGACCAAACCTGCACGTTAATAATTGAAGAACTCCAGCTGAACAGCAGTGCAGTGTACTTCTGTGCTGCTAGTTTACACAGTGCTACATATCACTGCTCCTCAGTACAAAAACCTCCACAACACATGTTTTCAGCCTCTTGCACCTGTATGCTTTCATTTTATGAAGTGGTGATATATCTTATTACTACACTGTATTTTGTGACACATGACTGTCTGAATCTAGAATAAAAAGACATTTTATCTATAAACCTCCATCACCTCTGGGTTTACTGCCAAAGATAGTGACTAGCACCTGGAACCAACCACCCTCACGAAATGTTCAACATCCTCCTGTTTTATATTCATAAATGACACAAGACATTTTGTTTACAACTGACAGGTATCTCAAATCAGTGGTTCAAAATTAGAACTGTTAACATGCATGATCACTGCCTCATATTGCATGTACAGCCTGATCTTCCATCATTTTAAAAAGGTGTGTTCAATTCAGTGCATTAACAAAACTGGCCTCCTCAGCTGTCAGTGTTACCGGTCTGAATGTAGGGGGACCTCCAGTACCTCCTAACATCTGCTCATACACTTCAACTGAGAAGGGGACGTCACACACTGCAGAGACACACCTACATCCAACTCTTCATCTCTCTGTGAATACACTGACAGACTCATATGAGACTTTGAGAGTTTTAGAATATGGACATTATCAAACATGGTCTCCTCAGCTTGTTGGTATTTGTTCTCTGGATAGGAGGTTAAGTACCGCAAGATCTGAACATTTATTTCAAAGATCAAATGTCTCCTTATGCTAACTTTTACTGTTCTACACACAGGTCTAATTGATGGGAGCGATGTCACCCAGAATGAGACACTGTGGAAATTCAAGGGCGACAATGCAACAATAGACTGCAGACACACGAAGGGTGTTGGCTACAATGACATGTACTGGTACAGACAGCTGCCAGGAGAAACAATGAAACAAATTGTGTTCACATCACTTGGCATGGATAATCATTACTTTGGAAATTTTAGCAAAGAGAAATTCTCAGCCACCAAACCTGACTTTGCCAGTGGGACATTCACAGTGAACAATCTGAAGCCAGAAGATAAAGGCTTGTACTTCTGTGCTGTGAGTAAACACAGTGATACAGACACATGTGAAAGCTGAACAAAAACCTCAGTACACTGTCGGCATAAGTGCTGCAATTATCTCACGTACTGTAGAGGGACCTCGAGAACCGCAAATCCTCCCAGTTACACTTTGTGGATTTTGATAAGGGAAGCCAACACATGACACTCCCACCTGCAACTTTTTAGATCTCCAACTGCTCTTGACAATTATTAGTCCTGTTGCACTCTCTGAATGGGAGAACATGGACTTTTTCAAACGTGGTCTCCTAATATTTCTGCTCTGGATTAAAGGTAAGATCTACCAACAACATTATAATCTTTAACTTTTGTTAGGTTAACCAGCACAAGTTAAAAATTTGTTTAAATGGTCAACTATAGGACAGTTAAAATATTCACATGTGCTAACACCTTATTATACACACAGGTCTAACTGCTGGGGATGATGTCACCCAGACTGACACACTATGGAAGTTCAAGGGCGACAGTGCAACAATAGACTGCAGTCACACTACAGCCAGATGTACTGGTACAGACAGCTACCAGGAGAGGGGATGAAGCAAATAGTTCTCACCTCTACAACTTCACCACATAAATATGAAAGTGGCTTCAGTGAGAACAAGTTTCCAGCGCAGAAGAACGACCCTCAGACTGGATCTTTGACAGTGGAGAAGCTGCTGCCTGAGGACAGTGGAGTGTATTTTTGTGCTGTGAGTCAACACAGTGATACAGGTGACTGAGACAGCTGTACAAATACCCAACTGTTGCTGTCACAATGAATAATTCAATTCAATTCAATTCAATTTTATTTGTATAGCGCCAATTCATAACAGAAGTTATCTCAGGACACTTTTCAAATAGAGCAGGTCTAGACCGAACTCTTTAAAATATTAATTACATAGACCCAACAGTACCACCATGAGCAAGCACTTGGCGACAAGGGCAAGGAAAAACTGCCTGTTAAAAAGGCAGAAACCTAGGACAGATCCTCCGGCTCTAGGTGGGTGGTCGTCTGTCTCGACCAGTTGGGGTGAGGGTGAGGGTGAGGGTGAGGGGTGAGAGAGAGAGAGAGAGAGAGAGAGAGAGAGAGAGAGAGAGAGAGAGAGAGAGAGAGAGAGAGAGAGAGAGAGAGAGAGAGAGAGGTGCACAGCAACAACAGTATTGGCAATGGCAATCTAGCAGGACCATGGCAGGAGGCTCCACCAGGATCGACAAGAACCTGTGAGACGAGAAAGCACAAGAACTCCGGGGAAGAAGTGAAATTAGTAACATGCATTAATGGAACATGAATGAGTGCAGAAAGAGAGAGGAAGGGAGGAGCTCAGTGCACCATGGGAAATCCCCCGATAGTCTAGGCCTATAGCAGCATGGTGGATTCTTGTTAATTCCATTAGTAGCACTAGAAGGAGCCAGAGGAACCAGATTTATTTACCTGATCTCACTGTCAGGATAAGTTTCAATAAATATGACAAAAAGTTATTTTTTATAAAAGTTACCTACTGCAGCTTTAATGACATAAAACCACTGAAATATGGATGTGTTCAAAGATTTGTTTTTATATATTATATATTCTTAAAGAACAAGTCAAACCCTCTGATAAGAAAATTTACAATAAATTCAATTCGGTTGGTTTTTTATGGAGTTGCAGTAATTATATTTTCAGATTAATCATTTAGTTGACAGATAGTCAAAATAAAATAGTAAACATCACCAATCATCAATCCCAGAGTCATTATTAGCTTGTTCTGCAAAGAAAACAAAGCCCAAAACATAGCTAATGTTTGGCTTTTTTGGTCTTGATAAATGTTCACAACATAATGAAAATCTGTCTCCTCCCATCTAAGCTGATCCCTGAACGTCTATTCAGTCAGTCAGTGCAAAGACAGAGAGGAAGATAAAGACATCATGATCAGCAAGCTCAACAGGATCACTCTGCTGCTTCTCTGGCTCTCCTGTAGGTTTCAATTCAAATTCTAAAAGTTCCATTTTTTGAAACCATCTCTGTTTTCTTAATGTTTTCTCTTTAAATGCAGGTTGTTCACTGAGCACTAAAGTCCATCAGGCTCCATCGTCAATATTAGGAAGTCCCAATGGTTCACCAGAAATCAGCTGCAACCATTCAATCAGTTCATACAATCAAATATTGTGGTACCAGCAGCCGATGGGGGACTCTGACCTTAAACTCATTGGATATATTTATTATGATAATCCAACTATCGAGGATAAATTCCGACAGCATTTCAATATAACTGGACATGGCTCCACGAACTCTCAACTTCATGTGCAGAAACTCAGAGATCCAGAAGACAGTGCCACGTACTTCTGTGCAGCGAGTAAGCACAGTGACTCAATTTCCCTCTCCCCTTTACAAAAACCCTCTCTGATAATCAGCCACATAAAGTCACGCTGAAGAGGAGCACACCTGCATCGAACTGCAGCCTGTGGCAGGAAATCAACACTGATATCAACCTTAAAACGGTCTTTTCCTGTGTTTACCAGGAGAACAGGACACTGTACAAATCCACTGATGAAGACATGTGACGGTCCGTAAAGCAGACTCCTCCTCCTCGTCCTCTACATCCAGCTCTCTTCAGTTTGCAGTCATTATTGTTTTCTTTTCATCTACGTTACAATCATGATCAGACTTCTTATACATTTAGCAGCTCTGCCGTTCTGTTTAACAGGTAATATGCATTAACTCCTAACTAAATATTTTCAATTAAGTTTAAGTTTATTCGTCACTAAAGCTGTTTGTTTTAAATGTCTCTTGCAGAACTCTCAAAAACCAGCGTTCATCAGACTCCCACTGCCATGATTAAAGATGCTGGAGAAGACATCCTGATGAACTGCAACCATTCAAACACTGATTTTACAATGATCCAGTGGTACAAACATTCTGCTGGGGAAAATGATATGGCTTTAATTGGTTATGTACGACTCAGTTCTAGCGTTGTTGAAGATAAATTCAAAGACTCTTATAATGTGAGCGGTCATGGATCAAGTCTGGCACATCTTCATATTCCAAAGAGTCGATCCGAGAACAGCGCAGTGTATTTCTGTGCAGCCAGTAGAGCACAGTGCTACACAAACCCTCCGTCTTTAACAAAAACCTTCTCTGACGCAGCCAGTTACAGAAATTACCACTTGAACCACATTGTGAATGACTGATAGACAGCTGGTGCACCATGAGACAGGTAGATTCTTAGTTTATCCATTAGGGTGCAGTGTTTTTCCAGATCTGTTGATTCTGAATTTGATGTTGTTGAATTTAATCAATTCTATATACGTGTAGTTTATATGGTGAATATTACTAATTCAACATTTTAACATTTTTAACAGCAACAACAACAATTCATGGACTGAAGAGACTGTGTTTTGTTTGGTCTTTAAACAGCAGTAACATCACATAAAATGTATTTGTTATTATTAACACTGCTATTTATTACTTCCTTGAGGTGGCAGTGTGTATTTTACCCCCAGCGGTGCATAATGGTAACTGGCATGATGGTTTTAATATTTAGAACAGGAGGATATGACGTTGTTTTTCTGATAGGAGGACTTAATCAGAAAGGGAGGAGGGAATCCTCTGTATACCAGCATAGTGAAGAAAACAGCACCAGAAACAAGACTGACTTTAAAAACACAACATGATGATCATTGTCTGCTGCATAACCTTGAATGTTATACTGGTTTCAGGTAATGAAAAGACTTTTTAGATAATTGGTATTTATCTTTGCAAAAAGATTGTTTGCCTGAATTATGAAAGAAAGTTTCATACTACAGGCTCTGGCATGTAAACTGAATTATATAAAATGAAATAAAAATAAACACATGTACTTTCAGAGATTCAAAGAAACCATTGGGCTTTTAAACTAAAGCTTTAAACTTTATTTCCACTTCCTCTCTAACTTTAACTGGTGTCTGGTGCTCAACTGCAATCACTGATATATTATGTGTTGTTTCTCTTTATGGCTTTTCCACAGGTTCCTCTCTAAATGAACTAGTCTACCAGAATCCAGCCCACACTTTCAACAAACCTGAAGGAGCAGCTAAAATTGAGTGTTCACACAGTATTCAAAACCATGATACAATCCTCTGGTACAAGAAATCAAAGAACAGACAGCTGCAGTTGCTTGGATACATGGTGGGAGGCAGTGGATCTCCAGAGAAGGGAGTGAATGTGAAGATAGCAGGGAGTGCAAATAAAGACCAAAACTGCACATTAACAATTGAAGAACTCCAGCTGAACAGCAGTGCAGTGTACTTCTGTGCAGCCAGATTACACAGTGCTACATATCACTGCTCCACAGTACAAAAACCTCCATAACACGTTTTCATCTCACAGCCTCTTGCACCTGTATGCTTTAATCAGACCTTTATACAGAGGCAGCAGTGGTAGTTGACATGATGGTTATAATGTTAAGAGGAGGAGGATACACTTCTGACACCACCCACCTCATGTCTTCATGTTGGTTTGCTGATAGGAGGGTTTACTCAAAGAGGAGGATGGAAATAATCATAATCATCTGCCGACACACTGAGGGTATCTTTTGTATCAGCGATAAAATTATTACCAAACACAAAATACAACATGATCATCTTATTCCTAAGCATTCATTTGAACACTATTCTGGTTTCAGGTAATGTCATCTGGTGTTTTACAGTGCTGCTATTTTAGCTGTAACTGAATTTTATAACATTGTTGAATTAACCAGCACTCATTCTTATACACTGTGTCTCATCTTTTCAGCAGGTTCCTCTCTCAGTGACCAAGTCCATCAGACTCCAGCTGACATTTACAACACACCAGGACAAATAGCCAAGATTGAATGTTCACACACCAATCCAAGCTTTAACCAAATCCTCTGGTACAAGAAATCAAAGAACAGACAGCTGCAGTTGCTTGGATACATGGTGGGAGGCAGTGGATCTCCAGAGAATGGAGTGAATGTGAAGATAGCAGGGAGTGCAAATAAAGACCAAAACTGCACATTAACAATTGAAGAACTCCAGCTGAACAGCAGTGCAGTGTACTTCTGTGCTGCTAGTTTACACAGTGCTACATATCACTGCTCCTCAGTACAAAAACCTTCTGATATCTTCATGTTACAGGTTACACCTGTATTAACCCATTCTAGCCAATGTTGGTCTTCCCTTTCATCCAGATCAGATATTATAATGGGAAGTTCCTTATGTTCCTAACAACAGCCTCAGACGTTCAGCAGGTCTGCAGTGCCTGCACCTTATTTCAACAAGATAACTATCAAATGGTTGTCCAATTATCTGAATGCAACTGTCTATTACTGACAAATAAATTAACAGCTCCATAAGTTTTTAAATATTCAGACTAAGAGACCAAGTTCATGTTAGCAGTGTCTCTGGTAGTACATCATATCACATCATACAGCGACACTCCCACAACTCTTCATCTCTCTGCTGTAACGTCACACCTCCCATCACACACACTGACACCGACTCCGGTCTCCAAGTTCATGTTACTCAGAACACAATAATGATCACTGCTGGTCTGATCAGACTCTCTGCAGCTCTGCTCTGGATTGTAGGTACTGTACACTCTGATGCTGGGGACTGAGAGGAGAATCTGTTACTTTAAAGTCATACTAATGGTTTTATATTGGTCATTCTGTCAGCATACAGAGGACCTGATGGTGGTCCTGTAACATGACATGTGATTTTCTTTTTTACCCCCACAGGTCTAATTGATGGGAGTGATGTCACTCAGACACCTTTGCTGTGGAAGGTCAAGGATCAGTCTGCCACAATGAACTGCAGTCACAACAAGGATGCCAGTTATTTCCAGATGTACTGGTACAGACAGCTACCAGGAGAGGGGATGAAGCAAATAGTTTTCACCACTACAACTCCACCACATAAATATGAAAGTGGCTTCAGCGAGGACAAGTTTCCAGCGCAGAAGAACAACCCTCAGACTGGATCTTTGACAGTGGAGAAGCTGCTGCCTGAGGACAGTGGAGTGTATTTTTGTGCTGTGAGTCAACACAGTGATACAGGTGGCTGAGACAGCTGTACAAATACCCAACTGTTGCTGTCACAATGAATAGAAGACATCATCACTGTGTATAATTCTCTGTAGGAGGAGCTGGAGACCTGTATGCTACATTAAGATTTTGAGTAGTCAGTGTTATTTGTTATATCAATAGTTTTGTAATATATATGTTATACTGGAGTGTAGAAATATGTTGAAGTTAAAGGTCAGTGAATGTGAAATGACATACCAAACAAATACAGACATTGTCACATCACTACTTTTTACATGCTGTATTAGGTTTCTTTCTCTGACCCTTAAATGTAAAAAAAAAAACTTTTCCTACTTTTCATGCATTGCAGAACAGTGTGAAATTATTACACATTATTTTGTGACAGATAACTGTCTGAATCTAGAATAAAAAGACATTTTATCTATAAACCTGCATAACCTCTGGGTTTACTGCCAAATATAGTGACTAGCACCTGGAACCAGTTGAATCCAAACCCTATCAAAAAAGTTTTATGACTCTGTGTCTGATGTGTCCTGACTACTAAAAAATGTTAATAAAGAGCAATGTAGACAGCCTGTCTGTTAATTCACATGTATCACCAGTGTGTGCTGTCTCACAGTAATAACACACCTTTTCACAGATAGCATCATCATGTGACAGGATGGAGGACGAGATGCTGTTATCAGCTTTGTTGAACTCATCACTGTAACTATAATTTGTCTGATCAGCAGATTAAAATGATCTGATCTTCACTGTGTCCCTGTTCAGAGCTATAGGTTTTATACTTTTGCACAAAAACACCCAATAATTATATTTTCTCAAAGAGCAAGTCAAACCCTCTGATAAGAAAATATACCATAAATTCAATTACAGTTTGGTTTTGTATGGAGTTGCAGTAATTATATTTTCAGATTAATCATTTAGTTGACACATAGTAAAAATAAAATAGTAAACATCACCAATCATCAATCCCAGAGTCATTATTAGCTTGTTCTGCAAAGAAAACAAAGCCCAAAACATAGCTAATGTTTGGCTTTTTTGGTCTTGATAAGCGTTCACAACATATTGAAAATCTGTCTCCTCCCATCTAAGCTGATCCCTGAACGTCTGTTCAGTCCGTCAGTGCAAAGACAGAGAGGAAGATAAAGACATCATGATCAAAAAGCTCAACAGGATCACTCTGCTGCTTCTCTGGCTCTCCTGTAGGTTTCAATTCAAATTCTAAAAGTTACATTTTTTGAAAACATCTCTGTTTTCTTAATGTTTTCTCTTTAAATGCAGGTTGTTCACTGAGCACTAAAGTCCATCAGGCTCCATCGTCAATATTAGGAAGTCCCAATGGTTCACCAGAAATCAGCTGCAACCATTCAATCAGTTCATACAATCAAATATTGTGGTACCAGCAGCCGATGGGGGACTCTGACCTTAAACTCATTGGATATATTTATTTTGATAATCCAACCATCGAGGATAAATTCCAACAGCATTTCAATATAACTGGACATGGCTCCACGAACTCTCAACTTCATGTGCAGAAACTCAGAGAGCCAGAAGACAGCGCCACGTACTTCTGTGCAGCGAGTAAGCACAGTGACTCAATTTCCCTCTCCCCTTTACAAAAACCCTCTCTGATAATCAGCCACATAAAGTCACGCTGAAGAGGAGCACACCTGCATCGAACTGCAGCCTGTGGCAGGAAATTGACACTGATATCAACCTTAAAACAGTCTTTTCCTGTGTTTACCAGGAGAGCAAGACACTGTACAAATCCACTGATGAAGACATGTGACGGTCCGTAAAGCAGACTCCTCCTCCTCGTCCTCTACATCCAGGCAGCTCTCTTCAGTTTGCAGTCATTATTGTTTTCTTTTCATCTACGTTACAATCATGATCAGACTTCTTATACATTTAGCAGCTCTGCCGTTCTGTTTAACAGGTAATATGCATTAACTCCTAACTAAATATTTTCAATTAAGTTTAAGTTTATTCGTCACTAAAGCTGTTTGTTTTAAATGTCTCTTGCAGAACTCTCAAAAACCAGCGTTCATCAGACTCCCACTGCCATGATTAAAGATGCTGGAGAAGACATCCTGATGAACTGCAACCATTCAAACACTGATTTTAATATGATCCAGTGGTACAAACAGTCTGCTGGGGAAAATGATATGGCTTTAATTGGTTATGTACGATTCACTTCTGCGGTTGTTGAAGATAAATTCAAAGACTCTTATAATGTGAGCGGTCATGGATCAAGTCTGGCACATCTTCATATTCCAAAGAGTCGATCCGAGAACAGCGCAGTGTATTTCTGTGCAGCCAGTAGAGCACAGTGCTACACAAACCCTCCGTCTTTAACAAAAACCTTCTCTGACGCAGCCAGTTACAGAAATTACCACTTGAACCACATTGTGAATGACTGATAGACAGCTGGTGCACCATGAGACAGGTAGATTCTTAGTTTATCCATTAGGGTGCAGTGTTTTTCCAGATCTGTTGATGTTGAATTCGATGTTGTTGTTGAATTTAATCAATTCTATATACGTGTAGTTTATATGGTGAATATTACTAATTCAACATTTTAACATTTTTAACAGCAATTCAACAATTCATGGACTGAAGAGACTGTGTTTTGTTTGGTCTTTAAAACAGCAGTAACATCACATAAAATGTATTTGTTATTATTAACACTGCTATTTATTACTTCCTTGAGGTGGCAGTGTGTATTTTACCCCCAGCGGCGTGTAATGGTAACTGGCATGATGGTTTTAATATTTAGAAAAGGAGGATATGATGTTGTTTTTCTGATAGGAGGACTTAATCAGAAAGGGAGGAGGGAATCCTCTGTATACCAGCATAGTGAAGAAAACAGCACCAGAAACAAGACTGACTTTGAAAACACAACATGATGATCATTGTCTGCTGCATAACCTTGAATGTTATACTGGTTTCAGGTAATGAAAAGACTTTTTAGATAATTGGTATTTATCTTTGAAAAATGATTGTTTGCCTGTAGTATGATAGAAAGTTTCATACTACAGGCTCTGGCATGTAAACTGAATTATATAAAATGAAATAAAAATAAGCACATGTACTTTCAGAGATTCAAAGAAACCATTGGGCTTTTAAACTAAAGAAACATTATTTTATTTCCACTTCCTCTCTAACTTTAACTGGTGTCTGGTGCTCAACTGCAATCACTGATATATTGTGTGTTGTTTCTCTTGATGGCTTTTCCACAGGTTCCTCTCTAAATGAACTAGTCTACCAGAATCCAGCCCACACTTTCAACAAACCTGAAGGAGCAGCTAAAATTGAGTGTTCACACAGTATTCAAAACTATGATACAATCCTCTGGTACAAGAAATCAAAGAACAGACAGCTGCAGTTGCTTGGATACATGGTGGGAGGCAGTGGATCTCCAGAGAAGGGAGTGAATGTGAAGATAGCAGGGAGTGCAAATAAAGACCAAAACTGCACATTAACAATTGAAGAACTCCAGCTGAACAGCAGTGCAGTGTACTTCTGTGCTGCTAGTTTACACAGTGCTACATATCACTGCTCCTCAGTACAAAAACCTCCACAACACATTTTGTCATCTCGCTACTACAGCTCACAGCCTCTTGCACCTGTATGCTTTCCTTTTATGAGGTGGTGATATATCTTTAATCAGACCTTTATACAGAGGCAGCAGTGGTAGTTGAGATGATGGTTATAATGTTAAGAGGAGGAGGATACACTTATGACACCACCCACCTCATGCCTTCATGTTGGTTTGCTGATAGGAGGGTTTACTCAAAGAGGAGGATGGAAATAATCATAATCATCTGCCGACACACTGAGAATATCTTTTGTATCAACAATAAAATTATTACCAAACACAAAAGACAACATGATCATCTTATTCCTAAGCATTCATTTGAACACTATTCTCGTTTCAGGTAATGTTATCTAAGGTTTTGACATCTGTTTAAAGTTAAGTGTTTTACAGTGCTGCTATTTTAGTTGTAACTGAATTTTATAACATTGTTGAATTTACCAGCACTCATTCTTATACACTGTCTTGTTTTTGATTGATGTCTTTTTCAGCAGGTTCCTCTCTCAGTGACCAAGTCCATCAGACTCCAGCTGACATTTACAACACACCAGGACAAATAGCCAAGATCGAATGTTCGCACACCAATCCAAGCTTTGACCGAATGTTCTGGTACAAGCAAACAGACGGACAACTACAGTTCCTGGGATATATGTTATGAAACGCTGGAAACCCAGAGAATGGAGTGAAAGTGAAGATAGAAGGGAGTGCAAGTAAAGGCCAAACCTGCACATTAACAATTGAAGAACTCCAGCTGAACAGCAGTGCAGTGTACTTCTGTGCTGCTAGATTACACAGTGCTACATATCACTGCTCCTCAGTACAAAAACCTCCACAACACATTTTGTCATCTCGCTGCTTCAGCTCACAGCCTCTTGCACTTGTATGCTTTCATTTTATGAGGTGGTGATATATCTTTAATCAGACCTTTATACAGAGGCAGCAGTGGTAGTTGACATGATGGTTATAATGTTAAGAGGAGGAGGATACACTTATGACACCACCCACCTCATGCCTTCATGTTGGTTTGCTGATAGGAGGGTTTACTCAAAGATGAGGATGGAAATAATCATAATCATCTGCCGACACACTGAGAATATCTTTTGTATCAGCGATAAAATTATTACCAAACACAAAAGACAACATGATCATCTTATTCTTAAGCATTCATTTGAACACTATTCTGGTTTCAGGTAATGTCATCTAGTGTTTTACAGTGCTGCTATTTTAGCTGTAACTGAATTTTAAAACATTGTTGAATTAACCAGCACTCATTCTTATACACTGTGCCTTGTCTTTTTAACAGGTTCCTCTCTCAGTGACCAAGTCCACCAGACTCCAGCTGACATGTACAACACACCAGGAGGAACAGCTGAAATCAACTGTTCACACAGTATTCAGAGCTATGACCGAATCCTCTGGTACAAACAAACGGAAAGGCAACTACAGTTCCTGGGATATTTGTATTTTAACAATGGATACCCAGAGACTGGAGTGAAGGTGAAGATAGCAGGGAGTGCAAATAAAGACCAAAACTGCACATTAACAATTGAAGAACTCCAGCTGAACAGCAGTGCAGTGTACTTCTGTGCAGCCAGATTACACAGCGCTACATATCACTGCTCCTCAGTACAAAAACCTCCACAACACATTTTGTCATCTCGCTACTACAGCTCACAGCCTCTTGCACCTGTATGCTTTCATTTTATGAGGTGGTGATATATCTTTAATCAGATCTTTATACAGAGGCAGCAGTGGTAGTTGACATGATGGTTATAATGTTAAGAGGAGGAGGATACAGTTATGGCACCACCCACCTCATGCCTTCATGTTGGTTTGCTGATAGGAGGGTTTACTCAAAGAGGAGGATCGAAATAATCATAATCATCTGCCGACACACTGAGAATATTTTTTTTATCAACGATAAAATTATTACCAAACACAAAAGACAACATGATCATCTTATTCCTAAGCATTCATTTGAACACTATTCTGGTTTCAGGTAATGTCATCTGAGGTTTTGACATCTGTGTCGGGCTCAACGTCGTGGGGTGTTACAGTGGTTTAACTGTATTAGGTTAATCAATTAATGGTTATCAAAATGTATAATTATCAAAAGATAATAGAAAATGATTTTAATTAATATTAAAGATCCTCGGGGCACCACCCTCAAATAAGGGAAACGATAACCAATAATCGATTGATCAGTCTCATAAAAATACATCAAACTATTAATTCAGAAGTCAGATTTATAATTAAATTAATAAATACAACCAAAATCATTATTAATAGCTAAAGTGGGAGCTTTGGAGTTCTACATAGAAAAGGTTGGTATCACCCACTCTTATACGAAATTAAATAGGCCAGCATATATAAACACAAGCATTTATTACAAGGGATATAATAAAAGCAAAAAAGTGTGTGTGTGTGTGTGTGTGTGTGTGTGTGTGTGTGTGTGTGTGTGTGTGTGTGTGTGTGTGCCAAGGAGGAGGAGGAGGAGGAGGAGGAGGAGGAGGAGGAGGAGGAGGAGGTTTAAATCTGTGTACTGTAAATAAGCATTAAAGGCCAGATGGTCCAATCATCTAAATTCAAAACTTATTCCTTTAGCTTTCTATTACTGCCAAATGAGTGAACAGATTATTTTAAATACTCAGAGTAAGACAAGGCAACAACCAAGTCAACAAGACCCAGGACCCCCACTAATAATGCCTGTTAAACCTACCACTCACCCTGAATCTAATACATTACATTAATGCTCATCCATTGGCAGTAAACCTGATTCTGATTCAGAAGTCTACCATTAAAGGTGTTTTTTGTTGTTGTTTTTTAATAGGGCAATAACTTCTAAAGAAAGAAGGAAAAGGTTTGAATGAAGTTATACAGTGTCCTCCTTAATTTTATTGCACTGCATTCAACCTCAGATTGTTATTGATACCTCTGTCCTTTAAATGTTAAGTTAAAGTCGATCATTGTGAGTGAATCTGCAAACAAAAACAAACATGACCTATTACAAAAATATGCATTAGGTCATCCATTGAAGTACATAGTTAAGATCAATTCTCAAAGTTCAGAGTGCTGTATTTTCAACAATCTAACATCTAATATTGTATTATTATAGTACTTACTAGTTAGGTGCAACATTTTACAAATTTGTTTGTTCAGATTATAAGAGGTTTTTATTGTTTTGCTTCCTTTCATAAGGTGGGGGTATATCTTTACTGGTGTGCCGTGGTAGTTGACATGATGGTTTTAATTTAAGAGAGGAAGAAGCTCTATGACACCGCCTACCTTAAAAAGGTTGAGTTTGTTTTCCTGATAGGAGGGTTTACTCAGAAAAGAAGATAGAAACAGTATACCAACCTACACTGTGATGAAAACAGAGCCAATAACTACACTGAACTTAATAAAACACAACATCATGATAATCTTCCTCTGGATAACTATTAATGTTATACTAGTTTCAGGTAATAAAAAAGTCTTCATTGTTATTTTAACATGTGTATTTACAGTTGTCAGGTTGCTGTAGCTAATTACATTGAATTTGCATGTTCAACCAGATTCAAGAAAAAGGACTTAGAGGATTTATTTGCACTCACTAACTGTGATTGTATATTGTTTGATATATTTTTCTTTTTAATAGGTTCCTCTCTCAGTGACCAAGTCCACCAAACTCCAGCTGACGTGTACAACAAAGCCGGAGAAACAGCCAAAATCCGCTGTTCACACAGTATTCAGGACTATACCCGGATCTACTGGTACAAGCAATCGAAGAACGGGCAGATGCAGCTCCTGGGATACATGAATGTAAACGATGGATATCCTGAAGATGGAGTGAATGTAAAGATGGAAGGGGGTGCACTAAAAGACCAAACGTGCACATTAATAATTGAAGAACTCCAGCTGAACAGCAGTGCAGTGTACTTCTGTGCTGCTAGTTTACACAGTGCTACATATTACTGCTCCTCAGTACAAAAACCTTCTGATATCTTCATGTTACAGCTCACACTTACACCTGTATTAACCCATTCTAACCAATGTTGGTCTTCCCTTTCAACCAGATCAGATATTATAATGGGAGGTTCCTTATGTTCCTAACAACAGCCTCAGACGTTCAGCAGGTCTGCAGTGCCTGCACCTTATTTCAACAAGATAACTATCACATGGTTGTCCAATCATCTAAATGTAAAACAAATGAATTCAACTGTCTATTACTGACAAATAAATCAACAGCTACAGAAGTTTTTAAATATGCAGACTAAGAGACCAAGTTCATGTTAGCAGTGTCTCTGGTGGTACTGACTGTTTTCTTTACAAACACTGGTAAATACACAAGCAAAAAAACAATTGTGATTTGTTACATAAAACTCATCTTTTATTTTATTATTACTATTATATTTTTTATTTGTGTTTTTAACAACACTATGTAACTTCTGCTGAATAATGTCACTTGTGTTATTAATGGAAAAATGTTAAATGCTAATTTAACATATCCGTCAACCACTAGAAGAAAATTAGCTAAAAGATATTTTTTTTATTTCTGTATTCCAGCTCACAGCCCCTGGCACAACACATTCTACAAAAATAGTTTCTTCCTCTTATTAAGATCAGAGATTTTAATGGGAGGTTCCTTCTGTGGAGCAACGCAGTATTCAACCTCCCTCAGATGTTTATCATTTCTGCTGTGACTGCATCTGATATTAACAGGATCACTATGGGGACTCGAGTTCTCATCACATGTGTAGTCTCATCTCTGTGGCTTCAAGGTAAAAGGATTTTTTTTTTAAATAATATTTTCTAAAGTAGTAAGAGATTAGTTTATTTATAACTTTGGCTCACAGTAAAAAAAAAAAAAAAATTAAAAAAGCAACAAGAGAACAATTATTTTGTATTTAAAAATTGTATTTTCTCCAAACAGTTCACTGCCAGGATGTGAGCCAATACCCTGAAATCAGCTGGAGTTATGTGTCCAACTCTGCAGAGATGAACTGCAGCCACAAAAAAGATATTTCTCATAACCAGATGTACTGGTACAGGCAGCGTCCAGGGGAGACCATGACCCTCATTGTCTACACAGTTGTAGGTGGAAAGCCAGACTATGGTGAGGGCCCTCAAACCAAATACTCAGCCATCAAAGAGAAAACAGAGAGTGGGGCTCTTACTGTGAAAGACTTGCAGCCTGAGGACAGCGGTGTTTATTTTTGTGCCGTCAGCAAACACAGTGATGTGAGAAGCTGAGCAGCTGAACAAAAACTGGTTGACACTATATTTGGTGAATATTAGAAACCAGATTTTGACTTTTATATCTTTCCAGTAGGTGGAGCTGGAGTTCGAGAAATGCTCTTCAGCTTCACACACACAGCACTAGACATTTAATGTACCTGTGTGTAGAGAGGAGGGCATTAATACAAGAGGTTAAAGTGAAGTGCTGTGGTGTTTAATTCAAGCTCTTAGAGCCACTCAGTATTCTGTGTTCATTCAGACAGGAGGTCAACATGTCAACATTATTCTTTTTATCTTGGCTCACTGGTAATCACTTTTACCTTTCATTCAAGAATACCACGTTATCAATAGTTCCTACACAGTTCATTCAGTTTATTTCTTTATTTCTAGTTGTTTGTCTGGGTGTTGAAGTCCACCAAACTCCTCCAGCTCTCCTCAGAAGACCTGGAGACAAAGTCCAGCTCGTCTGCAGCCATGGAAAGACTGACTATTCACTGATGTACTGGTATCAAAAATCTCCTGGAGACCAAACTCTGAAACGCATCGGACATGTGTATTACAGCACTATAGAACTTGAGGAGTCTTTAAAAGAACATTTCAATATAAGTGGAGATCTGAGTGGAGAGACAGCAAAGAACGGCTCTCTGTTTATAGTCAATCTAAAGGCACCTGAGCACAGTGCAGTGTACTACTGCGCAGCAAGCTATGCACACTGACTGCAGATCCCCTCTCCTTTGTACAAAAACTCTGAACTGACTTTGATCAACAGTTATGGTTTTGAATTAGAACCTGAACAGGCCCCTCCCAGCAAGCTGCTCTTGATGTGATGCCATTATCTCTGCCAGGCAGTATACAGTACTGTTTCATCTTCATTTCACTTCCCTTTTCACACTTCAGTCAGCTCATGAGAGGCATCAGTTGGATCTCCGACACTAACAGAACCACAGTCATTATGATCTGATATCAGATTGCAGCAACTTACATCTGCAAAACTCTGTCATATGAAGTCTGATATGTCATGTAAAGGTTTGGAGTAATTGTTTTATTTTGAGGAAGATAAAATGATTTGCTTTCTTCTCTTCTGTTGTCTGGCAGGTAAAAACTTTTTCAAATAGAATCAGCTCATATGTAGGTAGAAACATGATTGTCCTTCATAAACTATCACAATGTAACTAAGTTTGTTCTATATGTTTGTCTTTTGTCCAGGTGGTTGTCTGGGTCTTGAAGTCCGTCAGTCTACCTCTGATCTCATCAAGCAACCTGGTGACAAAGTGCAGATTTTCTGCAGCCATGATAAAACTGACTACAGGATGATGCTCTGGTACCAGCGGTCACCTGGAGACACAGCTATGAAACTCATCGGATATTTGAACTACAAGACTGACAAAATGGAAGAGCCATATAATGTGGATTTTAATATCACTGGAGATTTAGGGGTGAATACAGCAAAGAATGGCTCTCTTATAGTCAAACGTGTAAGACCAAACCATAGTGCAGTGTATTACTGTGCAGCTAGCAAAGCACAGTGACTCTTCTTTATCTCTACCTAATACAAAAACTTGGAAACATTTATCAGCATTCATGGCTTTGATGGCTTAGTAGTTGAACAGGCTCCTCCCAGCCAGCTGCTGTTCATTTAATGCTATTGGGTTTGCCAGCCCATATACAGGAAGAGTGTTATTTAAACACGCCCCTTTCTTTTTCAAACCTCAGACAGCTCAGTAAAGGCATCAGTTTATTTACATTGCTAATGGTGAGAGTCAGTGTGATCTAATGTCAGATCCCAGTGACTTAAAAACCCTAAAACTCTGACACACGGACTGGTGTGTTATTAAGGACTTCTGAGACAGGTTATGTTAAGGAAGTAAAAATGATCAGTTTCCTTTTTTTCTGTTGCCTAGCAGGTAAATAACTTCTTCAACAACAATTAGCTCCTACTAATGTGGAAATTCTTTAATTTTAAATAAATGAGTTCTTTTTTTTTTGTGCAGGTGGTTGTCTGGGCCTTGAGGTCCGTCAGTCCACCTCTGATCTCATCAAGCAACCTGGTGACAAAGTGCAGATTTTCTGCAGCCATGATAAAACTGACTACAGGATGATGCTCTGGTACCAGCGGTCACCTGGAGACACAGCTATGAAACTCATCGGATATTTGTACTTTAAAGATGTCAAAATGGAAGAGAAATATGAAGTCGATTTTAATATCACTGGAGATTTAGGGGGGAATACAGCCAAGAATGGCTCTCTTATAGTCAAACGTGTAGGACCAAATCACAGTGCGGTGTACTACTGTGCAGCTAGCAAAGCACACTGACAGAAATCCACCTCTGAGCTTTACAAAAACTCTTCACCATCTTTTATCATGGTTTCAAATAATACGTGGAATATACTCCTCACAGACACCTGCTTTTGTGGTTGCATTTTGGTTTTATTCAGTTGTGTCATCATTAGCTAATACAAGCTGGTTTCTATTCTATTGGTTTATTCTTATTCAAACTAGACAAGACTAAAACATAATGAAAAAGCAAAAAGGAAGAGCCTCGATAATTATCAGTTTTATATGCAACTACATGAAGCCACTCCTCCTTTCTACATCATGATGGCTTCCTACTTAAATGTGACTGAGTTTAGGGAGAAAGCACAAACAACAGAGACCCTGTCGTCACTTAACCAATACTACATTTCATCCATGATTTAACTCAGTGCTCCATGTCAGATCTTCAAATGATGATTAGATTTCTGTTCTGCTTTTTCCTCACAGGTAACAACTGCTTCATTCTGAACTTACGATTTAATGTACTTTTTAACTTCACACATAACGTTAATAATGTGTCCAACTCTGCTCACAGCAGGTATTTCACTGGGGGTTCAGATCCATCAGTCTCCCTCTGCTGTCATCGGAAAGGCCGGTGGTAACGTTCAACTTTCCTGCACACATGGACAAAGTAACTACAGAGTGATGCTGTGGTACCAACACACACCTGGAGACAGAGCACTGAAACTTATTGGACATGGATATGCACAGTTCAGTAATAACAGCGTGGAAGAGCTGTTAAGAAAACACTTCAAATTAGCTGGAGATCTGAGTGGAGACAACAAAAATGGTTCACTTTCCATAATCAATCTGAAAGCACTTGAACACAGCGCAGTGTACTTCTGTGCTGCAAGAGAGGCACAGTATGTCAAACCTTCATCTGCCCTTAACAAAAACCTCTTTACCCCTCCACTCTGAATGTAGGTCAAATAGGATGGTCTACCTATATTTTTACAATAAGGCATAAACTAAATAAGTTTTAATAGTAAAATGTTGTAACAGCCTGATGCAACTATGCTCAGTAAATGACCCTTGATTGTAATTGTTGTAATTCAGCAAAAAGAAAAGCAGAGCCTGAATGAAACAAAGTTTTAGTGTCAACTTAAGCTTTGCTATCTCTGTTATCTCTACATCACTTCCTGCCCCTCCTTCTGATCCACAAAACACAGCAGAGACTCAGGCTGGTTCTTCACATTCAACATGATGCCATCTCAACTCATCGTTTCCATCATAACTTTGTTCTGGGTTAGAGGTATTGTACATTCATGAAGCCATTTGTTTTACATTTACACTGTAATTAACCCTAAAAAAACCCTTAAAAGTAGAGGAACAAAATGATAAAATGACTATCTGGATCCACTCATTCATTGCTTATTTTTATGATAAGACTTTAAAGCACTACTTAACATTGTGTCTTGATCTCTTTACAGGAGTTTATCTCAGTAAAGAAAAACAAGTATTTCAGACTCCAACTGAGCTGTTGGTGAAACCAAAAGATGGAGTCAACTTGAGCCTCACACATAAAATCCCGAGCTATGACACTGTTCTCTGGTATCAGCGCTCACCAGGAAATACTTCCCTAAAGCTCATCGGCTACGTGTATTATAAAAATCCTAAGGTTGAGTCAGAATTTCAAATTCACTTCAATGTGAGTGGAGACGGAGAGAAAACAGCTTATCTTCACATCCTGAACCCGAGACACCCTGAAGAAAGTGGAGAATATTTTGGAGCAGCACGTATATACACAGCAATAAAGACAGTGACTCTCTCATACAAAAACCTCCACAATGATCCAGCAGAGAACAGCACACCAACAGGAAACCACTGGAACCACCTCACAGACAAAGTATTCAACTGGTTCATTAGAATCTATTTATTTGTTCCTTTTAGCATTGCACTGAAGTGAAGTTGACATTAAAAGTATTAAAAGGCAATAATAAAGATCAAGATAAGATACATTTACAATTCATTTTACAGGCTTTGATTACATTATATTTTGTAATGATGCCAACAAAGTCACATATTAAAGGTTGTCTCTGCTTTGCTCTCTCCTCTGTGCAGATAAAGTCAAAAAGATATATTGAGTCATTTCAAAGTCATAGGTCATGTTTTACGAGTTCACTGCATTGCAACTTGAACTTACCGGACAATTTCAGAACCAGAACCAAAAGACAAACTTTTGCTATTTAAGCTCACAGGAACATTTTATTTCTTTTTTTATGTTTTCTTCTGCCAGTTGCAAGGAAAAAAGTTACACATTTGCCTTTCAGTTCTGCTCAGTTTTGTGTTCACATTAGGGCTGTGACTAACAATGACTTTTATTATTAATTTATCAGGACATTGTTTTGCTCCATTAATCCTTTGGTCTAATAAAATATCCAACTATGAACCAAAACCCAAATGTATTCAATTTACTAATACAAGAAAATCCACGAAACTAAAAATATAACAAATTATAAATTGATTATCAAAAGAGTTGCTGGTTCATTTCTGTCGATCAACTAATACATTTATCAACAAATCATTTGAGCTCTGGTTTAGACCAACTTAATTCAAATGGTTTTGAATTGGAACCTGAACAGGCTCCTCCCAGCAAGCTGCTCTTGATGTGATGCCATTACCTCTGCCAGGCAGTATACAGTGGTACGGTTTCATTCTCACTTCCACTTTAAACCTTCGGTCAGCTCAGGAGAGGCGTCAGTTGGCTCTCCGACACTAACAGAACCACAGTCATTATGATCTGATATCAGATCGCAGCAACTTACATCTGCAAAACTCTGTCATATGAAGTCTGATATGTCATGTAAAGGTTTGGAGTAATTGTTTTATTTTGAGGAAGATAAAATGATTTGCTTTCTTCTCTTCTGTTGTCTGGCAGGTAAACACTTTTTCAAATAGAATCAGCTCATATGTAGGTAGAAACATGATTGTCCTTCATAAACTATCACAATGTAACTAAGTTTGTTCTATATGTTTGTCTTTTGTCCAGGTTGTTGTCTGGGTCTTGAGGTCCGTCAGTCCACCTCTGATCTCATCAAGCAACCTGGTGACAAAGTGCAGATTTTCTGCAGCCATGATAAAACTGACTACAGGACGATGCTCTGGTACCAGCGGTCACCTGGAGACACAGCTATGAAACTCATCGGATATTTGTACTTTAAAGATGTCAAAATGGAAGAGAAATATGAAGTTGATTTTAATATCACTGGAGATTTAGGGGGGAATACAGCCAAGAATGGCTCTCTTATAGTCAAACGTGTAGGACCAAATCACAGTGCAGTGTACTACTGTGCAGCTCGAGAAGCACACTGACAGAAATCACCTCTGAACTTTACAAAAACTCTTCACCATCTTTTATCATGGTTTCAAATAATACGTGGAATATACTCCTCACAGACACCTGCTTTTGTGGTTGCATTTTGGTTTGATTCAGTTGTGTCATTATTAGCTAATACAAGCTGGTTTCTATTCTATTGGTTTACTCTTATTTAAACTAGACAAGACTAAAACATAATGAAAAAGCAAAAAGGAAGAGCCTCGATAATTATCAGTTTTATATGCAACTACATGAAGCCACTCCTCCTTTCTACATCATGATGGCTTCCTTCTTAAATGTGACTGAGTTTAGGGAGAAAGCACAAACAACAGAGACCCTGTCGTCACTTAACCAATACTACATTTCATCCATGATTTAACTCAGTGCTCCATGTCAGATCTTCAAATGATGATTAGATTTCTGTTCTGCTATTTCCTCACAGGTAACAACTGCTTCATTCTGAACTTAAGATTTAATGTACTTTTTACCTTCACACATAACGTTAATAATGTGTCCAACTCTGCTCACAGCAGGTATTTCACTGGGGGTTCAGATCCATCAGTCTCCCTCTGCTGTCATCGGAAAGGCCGGTGGTAATGTTCAACTTTCCTGCACACATGGACAAAGTAACTACAGAGTGATGCTGTGGTACCAACACACACCTGGAGACAGAGCACTGAAACTTATTGGACATGGATATGCACAGTTCAGTAATAACAGCGTGGAAGAGCCATTTAGAAAACACTTCAAATTAGCTGGAGATCTGAGTGGAGACAACAAAAATGGTTCACTTTCCATAATCAATCTGAAAGCACTTGAACACAGCGCAGTGTACTTCTGTGCTGCAAGAGAGGCACAGTATGTCAAACCTTCATCTGCCCTTAACAAAAACCTCTTTACCCCTCCACTCTGAATGTAGGTCAAATAGGATGGTCTACCTATATTTTTACAATAAGGCATGAACTAAATAAGTTTTGATAGTAAAATGTTGTAACAGCCTGATGCAACTATGCTCAGTAAATGACCCTTGACTGTAATTGTTGTAATTCAGCAAAAAGAAAAGCAGAGCCTGAATGAAACAAAGTTTTAGTGTCCACTCAAGCTTTGCTATCTCTGTTATCTCTACATCACTTCCTGCCCCTCCTTCTGATCCACAAAGCACAGCAGAGACTCAGGCTGGTTCTTCACATTCAACATGATGCCATCTCAACTCATCGTTTCCATCATCACTTTGTTCTGGGTTAGAGGTATTGTACATTCATGAAGCCATTTGTTTTACATTTACACTGTAATTAACCCTAAAAAACCCTTAAAAGTAGAGGAACAAAATGACAAAATGGCTATCTGGATCCACTCATTCATTGCTTATTTCTTACTGCTATTTGTGATAAGACTTTAAAGCACTACTTAACATTGTGTCTTGATCTCTTTACAGGAGTTTACCTCAGTAAAGAAAAACAAGTATTTCAGACTCCAACTGAGCTGTTGGTGAAACCAAAAGATGGAGTCAACTTGAGCCTCACACATAAAATCCCGAGCTATGACACTGTTCTCTGGTATCAGCGCTCACCAGGAAACACTTCCCTAAAGCTCATCGGCTACATGTATTTTAAAACTCCTAAGGTTGAGTCAGAATTTCAAATTCACTTCAATGTGAGTGGAGACGGAGAGAAAACAGCTTATCTTCACATCCTGAACCCGAGACACCCTGAAGAAAGTGGAGAATATTTTGGAGCAGCACGTATATACACAGCAATAAAGACAGTGACTCTCTCATACAAAAACCTCCACAATGATCCAGCAGAGAACAGCACACCAACAGGAAACCACTGGAACCACCTCACAGTATCAAAGTTATTCAACTGGTTCATTAGAATCTATTTATTTGTTCCTTTTAGCATTGCACTGAAGTGAAGTTGACATTAAAAGTATTAAAAGGCAATAATAAAGCTCAAGATAAGATACATTTACAATTCATTTTACAGGCTTTGATTACATTATATTTTGTAATGATGCCAACAAAGTCACATATTAAAGGTTGTCTCTGCTTTGCTCTCTCCTCTGTGCAGATAAAGTCAAAAAGATATATTGAGTAATTTCAAAGTCATGGGTGATGAAGTTCACTGCATTGCAACTTGAACTTACAGGACAATTTCAGAACCAGTTTTGATTCAAGACAAACTTTTGCTATTTAAGCTCACAGGCACATTTGATGTATTTTTTTATGTTTTCTTCTGCCAGTTGCAAGGAAAAAAAGTTACACATTTGCCTTTAGTTCTGCTCAGTTTTGTGTTCACATTAGGGCTGTGACTAACAATGACTTTATTATTAATTTATCAGGACATTGTTTTGGTCCATTAATCCTTTGGTCTAATAAAATATCCAAATATGAACCATAACCCAAATATATTCAGTTTACCAACACAAGAAATCCATGCAACTGAAAATATAACAAATGATGAATTGAAATCAAAACACTTGCTGGTTAATTTTCTGTCGATCAACTAATACATTTATCAGCAAATCATTTGAGCTCTAGTTTAGACCAACTTAATTCAAATGGTTTTGAATTGGAACCTGAACAGGCCCCTCCCAGCAAGCTGCTCTTGATGTGATGCCATTATCTCTGCCAGGCAATATACAGTGGTACGGTTTCATTTTCACTTCCACTTTAAACCTTCGGTCAGCTCAGGAGAGGCGTCAGTTGGATCTCCGACACTAACAGAACCACAGTCATTATGATCTGATATCAGATCGCAGCAACTTACATCTGCAAAGCTCTGTCATATGAAGTCTGATATGTCATGTAAAGGTTTGGAGTAATTGTTTTATTTTGAGGAAGATAAAATGATTTGCTTTCTTCTCTTCTGTTGTCTGGCAGGTAAACACTTTTTCAAATAGAATCAGCTCATATGTAGGTGGAAACATGATTGTCCTTTCTAAACTATCACAATGTAACTAAGTTTGTTCTATATGTCTGTCTTTTGTCCAGGTGGTTGTCTGGGGCTTGAAGTCCGTCAGTCTACCTCTGATCTCATCAAGCAACCTGGTGACAAAGTGCAGATTTTCTGCAGCCATGACAAAACTGACTACAGGGTGATGCTCTGGTACCAGCAGTCACCTGAAGACACAGCTATGAAACTCATTGGATATTTGTACTATAAAGATGCCAAAATGGAAGAGAAATATGAAGTCGATTTTAATATCACTGGAGATTTAGGGGGGAATACAGCAAAGAATGGCTCTCTTATAGTCAAACGTGTAGGACCAAATCACAGTGCAGTGTACTACTGTGCAGCTAGCAAAGCACACTGACAGAAATCCCCTCTGAGCTTTACAAAAACTCTTCACCATCTTTTATCATGGTTTCAAATAATACGTGGAATATACTCCTCACAGACACCTGCTTTTGTGGTTGCATTTTGGTTTGATTCAGTTGTGTCATTATTAGCTAATACAAGCTGGTTTCTATTCTATTGGTTTATTCTTATTCAAACTAGACAAGACTAAAACATAATGAAAAAGCAAAAAGGGAGAGCCTCGATAATTATCAGTTTTATATGCAACTACAGGAAGCCACTCCTCCTTTCTACATCATGATGGCTTCCTTCTTAAATGTGACTGAGTTTAGGGAGAAAGCACAAACAACAGAGACCCTGTCGTCACTTAACCAATACTACATTTCATCCATGATTTAACTCAGTGCTCCATGTCAGATCTTCAAATGATGATTAGATTTCTGTTCTGCTATTTCCTCACAGGTAACAACTGCTTCATTCTGAACTTAAGATTTAATGTACTTTTTACCTTCACACATAACGTTAATAATGTGTCCAACTCTGCTCACAGCAGGTATTTCAATGGGGGTTCAGATCCATCAGTCTCCCTCTGCTGTCATCGGAAAGGCCGGTGGTAATGTTCAACTTTCCTGCACACATGGACAAAGTAACTACAGAGTGATGCTGTGGTACCAACACACACCTGGAGACAGAGCACTGAAACTTATTGGATATGGATATGCACAGTTCAGTAATAACAGCGTGGAAGAGCCGTTTAGAAAACACTTCAAATTAGCTGGAGATCTGAGTGGAGACAACAAAAATGGTTCACTTTCCATAATCAATCTGAAAGCACTTGAACACAGCGCAGTGTACTTCTGTGCTGCAAGAGAGGCACAGTATGTCAAACCTTCATCTGCCCTTAACAAAAACCTCTTTACCCCTCCACTCTGAATGTAGGTCAAATAGGATGGTCTACCTATATTTTTACAATAAGGCATGAACTAAATAAGTTTTAATAGTAAAATGTTGTAACAACCTGATGCAACTATGCTCAGTAAATGACCCTTGACTGTAATTGTTGTAATTCAGCAAAAAGAAAAGCAGAGCCTGAATGAAACAAAGTTTTAGTGTCAACTCAAGCTTTGCTATCTCTGTTATCTCTACATCACTTCCTGCCCCTCCTTCTGATCCACAAAACACAGCAGAGACTCAGGCTGGTTCTTCACATTCAACATGATGCCATCTCAACTCATCGTTTCCATCATCACTTTGTTCTGGGTTAGAGGTATTGTACACTCATGAAGCCATTTGTTTTACATTTACACTGTAATTAACCCTAAAAAAAACCCTTAAAAGTAGAGGAACAAAATTATAAAATGACTATCTGGATCCACTCATTGATTGCTTATTTCTTACTGCTATTTGTGATAAGACTTTAAAGCACTACTTAACATTGTGTCTTGATCTCTTAACAGGAGTTTACCTCAGTAAAGAAAAACAAGTATTTCAGACTCCAACTGAGCTGTTGGTGAAACCAAAAGATGGAGTCAACTTGAGCCTCACACATAAAATCCCGAGCTATGACACTGTTCTCTGGTATCAGCGCTCACCAGGAAACACTTCCCTAAAGCTCATCGGCTACGTGTATTATAAAACTCCTACGGTCGAGTCGGAATTTAAAATTCACTTCAATGTGAGTGGAGACGGAGAGAAAACAGCTTATCTTCACATCCTGAACCCGAGACACCCTGAAGAAAGTGGAGAATATTTTGGAGCAGCACGTATGTACACAGTAATAAAGACAGTGACTCTCTCATACAAAAACCTCCACAATGATCCAGCAGAGAACAGCACACCAACAGGAAACCACTGGAACCACCTCACAGTATCAAAGTTATTCAACTGGTTCATTAGAATCTATTTATTTGTTCCTTTTAGCATTGCACTGAAGTGAAGTTGACATTAAAAGTATTAAAAGGCAATAATAAAGATCAAGATAAGATACATTTACAATTCATTTTACAGGCTTTGATTACATTATATTTTGTAATGATGCCTGCAAAGTCACATATTAAAGGTTGTCTCTGCTTTGCTCTCTCCTCTGTGCAGATAAAGTCAAAAAGATATATTGAGTCATTTCAAAGTCATGGGTAATTTTTTACGAGTTCACTGCATTGTAACTTGAACTTACCGGACAATTTCAGAACCAGAACCAAAAGACAAACTTTTGCTATTTAAGTTCACAGGAACATTTTATTTCTTTTTTTTATGTTTTCTTCTGCCAGTTGCAAGGAAAAAAGTTACACATTTGCCTTTCAGTATTGCTCAGTTTTGTGTTCACATTAGGGCTGTGACTAACAATGACTTTTATTATTAATTTATCAGGACATTGTTTTGGTCCATTAATCCTTTGGTCTAATAAAATATCCAAATATGAACCAAAACCCGAATGTATTCAATTTACTAATACAAGAAAATCCATGCAACTGAAAATATAACAAATTATAAATTGATTATCAAAAGAGTTGCTGGTTCATTTCTGTCGATCAACTAATACATTTATCAGCAAATCATTTGAGCTCTGGTTTAGACCAACTTAATTCAAATGGTTTTGAATTGGAACCTGAACAGGCCCCTACCAGCAAGCTGCTCTTGATGTGATGCCATTACCTCTGCCAGGCAATATACAGTGGTACGGTTTCATTTTCACTTCCACTTTAAACCTTCGGTCAGCTCAGGAGAGGCGTCAGTTGGATCTCCGACACTAACAGAACCACAGTCATTATGATCTGATATCAGATCGCAGCAACTTACATCTGCAAAGCTCTGTCATATGAAGTCTGATATGTCATGTAAAGGTTTGGAGTAATTGTTTTATTTTGAGGAAGATAAAATGATTTGCTTTCTTCTCTTCTGTTGTCTGGCAGGTAAACACTTTTTCAAATAGAATCAGCTCATATGTAGGTAGAAACATGATTGTCCTTCATAAACTATCACAATGTAACTAAGTTTGTTCTATATGTTTGTCTTTTGTCCAGGTGGTTGTCTGGGTCTTGAAGTCCGTCAGTCTACCTCTGATCTCATCAAGCAACCTGGTGACAAAGTGCAGATTTTCTGCAGCCATGATAAAACTGACTACAGGATGATGCTCTGGTACCAGCGGTCACCTGGAGACACAGCTATGAAACTCATCGGATATTTGAACTTTAAAGATGTCAAAATGGAAGAGAAATATGAAGTCGATTTTAATATCACTGGAGATTTAGGGGGGAATACAGCCAAGAATGGCTCTCTTATAGTCAAACGTGTAGGACCAAATCATAGTGCGGTGTACTACTGTGCAGCTAGCAAAGCACACTGACAGAAATCACCTCTGAGCTTTACAAAAACTCTTCACCATCTTTTATCATGGTTTCAAATAATACGTGGAATATACTCCTCACAGACACCTGCTTTTGTGGTTGCATTTTGGTTCGATTCAGTTGTGTCATTATTAGCTAATACAAGCTGGTTTCTTTTCTATTGGTTTACTCTTATTTAAACTAGACAAGACTAAAACATAATGAAAAAGCAAAAAGGAAGAGCCTTGATAATTATCAGTTTTATATGCAACTACATGAAGCCACTCCTCCTTTCTACATCATGATGGCTTCCTTCTTAAATGTGACTGAGTTTAGGGAGAAAGCACAAACAACAGAGACCCTGTCGTCACTTAACCAATACTACATTTCATCCATGATTTAACTCAGTGCTCCATGTCAGATCTTCAAATGATGATTAGATTTCTGTTCTGCTATTTCCTCACAGGTAACAACTGCTTCATTCTGAAGTTACGATTTACTGTACTTTTTACCTTCACACATAACGTTAATAATGTGTCCAACTCTGCTCACAGCAGGTATTTCACTGGGGGTTCAGATCCATCAGTCTCCCTCTGCTGTCATCGGAAAGGCCGGTGGTAATGTTCAACTTTCCTGCACACATGGACAAAGTAACTACAGAGTGATGCTGTGGTACCAACACACACCTGGAGACAGAGCACTGAAACTTATTGGATATGGATATGCACAGTTCAGTAATAACAGCGTGGAAGAGCCGTTTAGAAAACACTTCAAATTAGCTGGAGATCTGAGTGGAGACAACAAAAATGGTTCACTTTCCATAATCAATCTGAAAGCACTTGAACACAGCGCAGTGTACTTCTGTGCTGCAAGAGAGGCACAGTATGTCAAACCTTCATCTGCCCTTAACAAAAACCTCTTTACCCCTCCACTCTGAATGTAGGTCAAATAGGATGGTCTACCTATATTTTTACAATAAGGCAAAAACTAAATAAGTTTTAATAGTAAAATGTTGTAACAGCCTGATGCAACTATGCTCAGTAAATGACCCTTGATTGTAATTGTTGTAATTCAGCAAAAAGAAAAGCAGAGCCTGAATGAAACAAAGTTTTAGTGTCAACTTAAGCTTTGCTATCTCTGTTATCTCTACATCACTTCCTGCCCCTCCTTCTGATCCACAAAACACAGCAGAGACTCAGGCTGGTTCTTCACATTCAACATGATGCCATCTCAACTCATCGTTTCCATCATCACTTTGTTCTGGGTTAGAGGTATTGTACATTCATGAAGCCATTTGTTTTACATTTACACTGTAATTAACCCTAAAAAACCCTTAAAAGTAGAGGAACAAAATGACAAAATGACTATCTGGATCCACTCATTCATTGCTTATTATTATAATAAGACTTTAAAGCACTACTTAACATTGTGTCTTGATCTCTTTACAGGAGTTTATCTCAGTAAAGAAAAACAAGTATTTCAGACTCCAACTGAGCTGTTGGTGAAACCAAAAGATGGAGTCAACTTGAGCCTCACACATAAAATCCCAAACTATGACACTGTTCTCTGGTATCAGCGCTCACCAGGAAACACTTCCCTTAAGCTCATCGGCTACATGTCTTATAAAAATCCTAAGGTTGAGTCAGAATTTCAAATTCACTTCAATGTGAGTGGAGACGGAGAGAAAACAGCTTATCTTCACATCCTGAACCCGAGACACCCTGAAGAAAGTGGAGAATATTTTGGAGCAGCAAGTATATACACAGCAATAAAGACAGTGACTCTCTCATACAAAAACCTCCACAATGATCCAGCAGAGAACAGCACACCAACAGGAAACCACTGGAACCACCTCACAGTATCAACTGGTTCATTAGAATCTATTTATTTGTTCCTTTTAGCATTGCACTGAAGTGAAGTTGACATTAAAAGTATTAAAAGACAATAATAAAACTCAAGATAAGATACATTTACAATTCATTTTACAGGCTTTGATTACATTATATTTTGTAATGATGCCAACAAAGTCACATATTAAAGGTTGTCTCTGCTTTCCTCTCTCCTCTGTGCAGATAAAGTCAAAAAGATATATTGAGTCATTTCAAAGTCATGGGTGATGAAGTTCACTGCATTGCAACATGAACTTACAAGACAATTTCAGAACCAGAACCAAAAGACAAACTTTTGCTATTTAAGCTCACAGGAACATTTCATTTCTTTTTTATGTTTTCTTCTGCCAGTTGCAAGGAAAAAAGTTACACATTTGCCTTTCAGTTCTGCTCAGTTTTGTGTTCACATTAGGGCTGTGACTAACAATGACTTTTATTATTAATTTATCAGGACATTGTTTTGCTCCATTAATCCTTTGGTCTAATAAAATATCCAACTATGAACCAAAACCCAAATGTATTCAATTTACTAATACAAGAAAATCCACGAAACTAAAAATATAACAAATTATAAATTGATTATCAAAAGAGTTGCTGGTTCATTTCTGTCGATCAACTAATACATTTATCAACATATCATTTGAGCTCTGGTTTAGACCAACTTAATTCAAATGGTTTTGAATTGGAACCTGAACAGGCCCCTCCCAGCAAGCTGCTCTTGATGTGATGCCATTATCTATGCCAGACAGTATACAGTGGTACGGTTTCATTTTCACTTCCACTTTAAACCTTCGGTCAGCTCAGGAGAGGCGTCAGTTGGATCTCCGACACTAACAGAACCACAGTCATTATGATCTGATATCAGATCGCAGCAACTTACATCTGCAAAGCTCTGTCATATGAAGTCTGATATGTCATGTAAAGGTTTGGAGTAATTGTTTTATTTTGAGGAAGATAAAATGATTTGCTTTCTTCTCTTCTGTTGTCTGGCAGGTAAACACTTTTTCAAATAGAATCAGCTCATATGTAGGTGGAAACATGATTGTCCTTCATAAACTATCACAATGTAACTAAGTTTGTTCTATATGTTTGTCTTTTGTCCAGGTGGTTGTCTGGGTCTTGAAGTCCGTCAGTCTACCTCTGATCTCATCAAGCAACCTGGTGACAAAGTGCAGATTTTCTGCAGCCATGATAAAACTGACTACAGGATGATGCTCTGGTACCAGCGGTCACCTGGAGACACAGCTATGAAACTCATCGGATATTTGAACTTTAAAGATGTCAAAATGGAAGAGAAATATGAAGTCGATTTTAATATCACTGGAGATTTAGGGGGGAATACAGCCAAGAATGGCTCTCTTATAGTCAAACGTGTAGGACCAAATCACAGTGCAGTGTACTACTGTGCAGCTAGCAAAGCACACTGACAGAAATCCCCTCTGAGCTTTACAAAAACTCTTCACCATCTTTTATCATGGTTTCAAATAATACGTGGAATATACTCCTCACAGACACTTGCTTTTGTGGTTGCATTTTGGTTTTATTCAGTTGTGTCATCATTAGCTAATACAAGCTGGTTTCTATTCTATTGGTTTACTCTTATTTAAACTAGACAAGACTAAAACATAATGAAAAAGCAAAAAGGAAGAGCCTCGATAATTATCAGTTTTATATGCAACTACATGAAGCCACTCCTCCTTTCTACATCATGATGGCTTCCTACTTAAATGTGACTGAGTTTAGGGAGAAAGCACAAACAACAGAGACCCTGTCGTCACTTAACCAATACTACATTTCATCCATGATTTAACTCAGTGCTCCATGTCAGATCTTCAAATGATGATTCGATTTCTGTTCTGCTATTTCCTCACAGGTAACATCTGCTTCCTTCTGAAGTTACGATTTACTGTACTTTTTACCATCACACATAACGTTAATAATGTGTCCAACTCTGCTCACAGCAGGTATTTCACTGGGGGTTCAGATCCATCAGTCTCCCTCTGCTGTCATCGGAAAGGCCGGTGGTAATGTTCAACTTTCCTGCACACATGGACAAAGTAACTACAGAGTGATGCTGTGGTACCAACACACACCTGGAGACAGAGCACTGAAACTTATTGGATATGGATATGCACAGTTCAGTAATAACAGCGTGGAAGAGCCGTTTAGAAAACACTTCAAATTAGCTGGAGATCTGAGTGGAGACAACAAAAATGGTTCACTTTCCATAATCAATCTGAAAGCACTTGAACACAGCGCAGTGTACTTCTGTGCTGCAAGAGAGGCACAGTATGTCAAACCTTTATCTGCCCTTAACAAAAACCTCTTTACCCCTCCACTCTGAATGTAGGTCAAATAGGATGGTCTACCTATATTTTTACAATAAGGCATAAACTAAATAAGTTTTAATAGTAAAATGTTGTAACAGCCTGATGCAACTATGCTCAGTAAATGACCCTTGATTGTAATTGTTGTAATTCAGCAAAAGAAAAGCAGAGCCTGAATGAAACAAAGTTTTAGTGTCAACTTAAGCTTTGCTATCTCTGTTATCTCTACATCACTTCCTGCCCCTCCTTCTGATCCACAAAACACAGCAGAGACTCAGGCTGGTTCTTCACATTCAACATGATGCCATCTCAACTCATCGTTTCCATCATCACTTTGTTCTGGGTTAGAGGTATTGTACACTCATGAAGCCATTTGTTTTACATTTACACTGTAATTAACCCTAAAAAACCCTTAAAAGTAGAGGAACAAAATGATAAAATGACTATCTGGATCCACTCATTCATTGCTTATTATTATGATAAGACTTTAAAGCACTACTTAACATTGTGTCTTGATCTCTTTACAGGAGTTTATCTCAGTAAAGAAAAACAAGTATTTCAGACTCCAACTGAGCTGTTGGTGAAACCAAAAGATGGAGTCAACTTGAGCCTCACACATAAAATCCCAAACTATGACACTGTTCTCTGGTATCAGCGCTCACCAGGAAACACTTCCCTAAAGCTCATCGGCTACATGTCTTATAAAAATCCTAAGGTTGAGTCAGAATTTCAAATTCACTTCAATGTGAGTGGAGACGGAGAGAAAACAGCTTATCTTCACATCCTGAACCCGAGACACCCTGAAGAAAGTGGAGAATATTTTGGAGCAGCACGTATATACACAGTAATAAAGACAGTGACTCTCTCATACAAAAACCTCCACAATGATCCAGCAGAGAACAGCACACCAACAGGAAACCACTGGAACCACCTCACAGTATCAACTGGTTCATTAGAATCTATTTATTTGTTCCTTTTAGCATTGCACTAAAGTGAAGTTGACATTAAAAGTATTAAAAGACAATAATAAAGATCAAGATAAGATACATTTACAATTCATTTTACAGGCTTTGATTACATTATATTTTGTAATGATGCCAACAAAGTCACATATTAAAGGTTGTCTCTGCTTTCCTCTCTCCTCTGTGCAGATAAAGTCAAAAAGATATATTGAGTCATTTCAAAGTCATGGGTGATGAAGTTCACTGCATTGCAACATGAACTTACAAGACAATTTCAGAACCAGAACCAAAAGACAAACTTTTGCTATTTAAGCTCACAGGAACATTTCATTTCTTTTTTTATGTTTTCTTCTGCCAGTTGCAAGGAAAAAAGTTACACATTTGCCTTTCAGTTCTGCTCAGTTTTGTGTTCACATTAGGGCTGTGACTAACAATGACTTTTATTATTAATTTATCAAGACATTGTTTTGCTCCATTAATCCTTTGGTCTAATAAAATATTCAACTATGAACCAAAACCCAAATGTATTCAATTTACTAATACAAGAAAATCCACGAAACTAAAAATATAACAAATTATGAATTGATTATCAAAAGAGTTGCTGGTTCATTTCTGTCGATCAACTAATACATTTATCAGCAAATCATTTGAGCTCTGGTTTAGACCAACTTAATTCAAATGGTTTTGAATTGGAACCTGAACAGGCCCCTCCCAGCAAGCTGCTCTTGATGTGATGCCATTATCTCTGCCAGGCAATATACAGTGGTACGGTTTCATTTTCACTTCCACTTTAAACCTTCGGTCAGCTCAGGAGAGGCGTCAGTTGGATCTCCGACACTAACAGAACCACAGTCATTATGATCTGATATCAGATCGCAGCAACTTACATCTGCAAAGCTCTGTCATATGAAGTCTGATATGTCATGTAAAGGTTTGGAGTAATTGTTTTATTTTGAGGAAGATAAAATGATTTGCTTTCTTCTCTTCTGTTGTCTGGCAGGTAAACACTTTTTCAAATAGAATCAGCTCATATGTAGGTAGAAACATGATTGTCCTTCATAAACTATCACAATGTAACTAAGTTTGTTCTGTATGTTTGTCTTTTGTCCAGGTTGTTGTCTGGGGCTTGAAGTCCGTCAGTCTACCTCTGATCTCATCAAGCAACCTGGTGACAAAGTGCAGATTTTCTGCAGCCATGATAAAACTGACTACAGGGTGATGCTCTGGTACCAGCGGTCACCTGAAGACACAGCTATGAAACTCATCGGATATTTGTACTATAAAGATGCCAAAATGGAAGAGAAATATGAAGTCGATTTTAATATCACTGGAGATTTAGGGGGGATACAGCAAAGAATGGCTCTCTTATAGTCAAACGTGTAGGACCAAATCACAGTGCAGTGTACTACTGTGCAGCTAGCAAAGCACACTGACAGAAATCCCCTCTGAGCTTTACAAAAACTCTTCACCATCTTTTATCATGGTTTCAAATAATACGTGGAATATACTCCTCACAGACACCTGCTTTTGTGGTTGCATTTTGGTTTGATTCAGTTGTGTCATTATTAGCTAATACAAGCTGGTTTCTATTCTATTGGTTTACTCTTATTTAAACTAGACAAGACTAAAACATAATGAAAAAGCAAAAAGGAAGAGCCTCGATAATTATCAGTTTTATATGCAACTACATGAAGCCACTCCTCCTTTCTACATCATGATGGCTTCCTTCTTAAATGTGACTGAGTTTAGGGAGAAAGCACAAACAACAGAGACCCTGTCGTCACTTAACCAATACTACATTTCATCCATGATTTAACTCAGTGCTCCATGTCAGATCTTCAAATGATGATTCGATTTCTGTTCTGCTATTTCCTCACAGGTAACAACTGCTTCCTTCTGAACTTAAGATTTAATGTACTTTTACCTTCACACATAACGTTAATAATGTGTCCAACTCTGCTCACAGCAGGTATTTCACTGGGGGTTCAGATCCATCAGTCTCCCTCTGCTGTCATCGGAAAGGCCGGTGGTAATGTTCAACTTTCCTGCACACATGGACAAAGTAACTACAGAGTGATGCTGTGGTACCAACACACACCTGGAGACAGAGCACTGAAACTTATTGGATATGGATATGCACAGTTCAGTAATAACAGCGTGGAAGAGCCGTTTAGAAAACACTTCAAATTAGCTGGAGATCTGAGTGGAGACAACAAAAATGGTTCACTTTCCATAATCAATCTGAAAGCACTTGAACACAGCGCAGTGTACTTCTGTGCTGCAAGAGAGGCACAGTATGTCAAACCTTCATCTGCCCTTAACAAAAACCTCTTTACCCCTCCACTCTGAATGTAGGTCAAATAGGATGGTCTACCTATATTTTTACAATAAGGCAAAAACTAAATAAGTTTTAATAGTAAAATGTTGTAACAGCCTGATGCAACTATGCTCAGTAAATGACTCTTGATTGTAATTGTTGTAATTCAGCAAAAAGAAAAGCAGAGCCTGAATGAAACAAAGTTTTAGTGTCAACTTAAGCTTTGCTATCTCTGTTATCTCTACATCACTTCCTGCCCCTCCTTCTGATCCACAAAACACAGCAGAGACTCAGGCTGGTTCTTCACATTCAACATGATGCCATCTCAACTCATCGTTTCCATCATCACTTTGTTCTGGGTTAGAGGTATTGTACATTCATGAAGCCATTTGTTTTACATTTACACTGTAATTAACCCTAAAAAACCCTTAAAAGTAGAGGAACAAAATGACGAAATGACTATCTGGATCCACTCATTCATTGCTTATTATTATAATAAGACTTTAAAGCACTACTTAACATTGTGTCTTGATCTCTTTACAGGAGTTTATCTCAGTAAAGAAAAACAAGTATTTCAGACTCCAACTGAGCTGTTGGTGAAACCAAAAGATGGAGTCAACTTGAGCCTCACACATAAAATCCCGAGCTATGACACTGTTCTCTGGTATCAGCGCTCACCAGGAAATACTTCCCTAAAGCTCATCGGCTACATGTCTTATAAAAATCCTAAGGTTGAGTCAGAATTTCAAATTCACTTCAATGTGAGTGGAGACGGAGAGAAAACAGCTTATCTTCACATCCTGAACCCGAGACACCCTGAAGAAAGTGGAGAATATTTTGGAGCAGCAAGTATATACACAGCAATAAAGACAGTGACTCTCTCATACAAAAACCTCCACAATGATCCAGCAGAGAACAGCACACCAACAGGAAACCACTGGAACCACCTCACAGTATCAACTGGTTCATTAGAATCTATTTATTTGTTCCTTTTAGCATTGCACTGAAGTGAAGTTGACATTAAAAGTATTAAAAGACAATAATAAAGATCAAGATAAGATACATTTACAATTCATTTTACAGGCTTTGATTACATTATATTTTGTAATGATGCCAACAAAGTCACATATTAAAGGTTGTCTCTGCTTTGCTCTCTCCTCTGTGCAGATAAAGTCAAAAAGATATATTGAGTCATTTCAAAGTCATGGGTGATGAAGTTCACTGCATTGCAAAATGAACTTACAAGACAATTTCAGAACCAGAACCAAAAGACAAACTTTTGCTATTTAAGCTCACAGGAACATTTTATTTCTTTTTTTATGTTTTCTTCTGCCAGTTGCAAGGAAAAAAGTTACACATTTGCCTTTCAGTTCTGCTCAGTTTTGTGTTCACATTAGGGCTGTGACTAACAATGACTTTTATTATTAATTTATCAGGACATTGTTTTGCTCCATTAATCCTTTGGTCTAATAAAATATCCAAATATGAACCAAAACCCAAATATATTCAATTTAATAACACAAGAAAATCCAAGCAACTGAAAATATAACAAATTATAAACTGATTATCAAAAGAGTTGCTGGTTCATTTCTGTCGATCAACTAATACATTTATCAACAAATCATTTGAGCTCTGGTTTAGACCAACTTAATTCAAATGGTTTTGAATTAGAACCTGAACAGGCCCCTCCCAGCAAGCTGCTCTTGATGTGATGCCATTACCTCTGCCAGGCAGTATACAGTGGTACGGTTTCATTTTCACTTCCACTTTAAACCTTCGGTCAGCTCAGGAGAGGCGTCAGTTGGATCTCCGACACTAACAGAACCACAGTCATTATGATCTGATATCAGATCGCAGCAACTTACATCTGCAAAGCTCTGTCATATGAAGTCTGATATGTCATGTAAAGGTTTGGAGTAATTGTTTTATTTTGAGGAAGATAAAATGATTTGCTTTCTTCTCTTCTGTTGTCTGGCAGGTAAACACTTTTTCAAATAGAATCAGCTCATATGTAGGTAGAAACATGATTGTCCTTCATAAACTATCACAATGTAACTAAGTTTGTTCTGTATGTTTGTCTTTTGTCCAGGTTGTTGTCTGGGGCTTGAAGTCCGTCAGTCTACCTCTGATCTCATCAAGCAACCTGGTGACAAAGTGCAGATTTTCTGCAGCCATGATAAAACTGACTACAGGGTGATGCTCTGGTACCAGCGGTCACCTGGAGACACAGCTATGAAACTCATCGGATATTTGAACTTTAAAGATGTCAAAATGGAAGAGAAATATGAAGTCGATTTTAATATCACTGGAGATTTAGGGGGGAATTGAC